AGTGTTGCCCGATGTCATCTGCAAACGGTTAGACTTTCTAGTCTTCTTGGAATAAAAAAAACTTGTAGGTCCCTGTCTCACAATCCTTGTTCAAATAAAATGCTGTGGGAAGTTAAAGAACCAAGACACTGTTTGTAAAGAGTAAGCTGAGTAGGGGACCCATTTACCTTCCAAACGGATTTCCCGGAAGCTTTTTGAAAATGGTAAACTTTGAAATGAGCAGACGTTATCGTGAAAGCAATTTCAATCCAATATGTAGGTACACAGAGTGTTATTTATTCCCTCAATAACACAAAATGGTGGAGCTATTATGCCTCAAATTACAGTCAACTCCCGATAACTCGAACCTTCAAGGGAAATCGAAAAAAGTTCAAGTTATCTTGAGTTCTAGTTATCAGGAGCTCGAAAAAAATAGCCGAGAGTAAGGTAAAAAACAGTTTTTACTGCACAGTGAACATTTTAATCACATTTAATTGTAGAAATGTCAAGTGAAAATTAAAAGATACTTCTAGATTATAAATCAGAACGTAACGTAACAAGCCATAGCCTAAATAGAGCATGCGTTTCACTGTTTTGAGAAGTAAAGCTGCTTCACGTTAGCCTGTGACAATCAATATCAATCTCCACTAGCAAACTATACTCCTACAACACGTCAATAGGAAGTCGAAAATTCAATGTTTCGGATGCCAGTAGACGGCTTTTTTCCCGACTTTTTAAGGGCTCAAAACATGGTTCGAGTTATCGAGGGTAAAATTATATAGAAAATGACCTGAGGGGAAACGAAAATTGGTTCGAGTTAGCGGGAGTGCGAGTTATCGAGGGTTCGAGTTACAGAAGGTAAAATTACAGTGAATGTATGACGGAAATCCAGGGAAAATCGATTTTGGTTCGAGTTAGCACGAGGTTCGAGTTAGCGAGGGTTCGAGTTATCGGGAGTACCTTGAAAGCCGCAAAGCATTCTGCATTCTAGTTAATAGTGGATCAACTCTTTTAACCCTTACAAATTCTTCAAACTGGTCTCTATACATTTCCTTAAAAGGATAAGTTGAGAGAATTTGATAAAAGATCAAAGCATTTTCTCTTAGGTGATAATTTTATTAATTCTAACAACCTAGTCTCTTGACCTTGTATCAGGGGATATTGTGAGTCAGAGGAAAATTGATGTTGGTCAATTAAAGGGTTAAGGCAAGTAAAAATAAATAATCTGTTTTTTGCTAGTTTAATTTGTTCGTACGTTTGGCCTTTCCTATACTTAAAAATGTGAATCATTGTTTCACATTTTTTTTTAAATTCACTACCAAAATGAATTGCTTTGAGTGAGCTACATTTTCCATTTTATCCCCCTTTTACCTCCGGTTCTTTTATTTAAACCGCTAATTTGTAACACGGTTGACTTTTTTATGTGACATAGATATCCTGAAAAACATAGAACAAACAATTTTGTCGTCATTTTGACCTTAACATGCTAAATTTCGTGTACTTTCGGTTAGGAGATGTTTACTTCCGGTCAAAATGGCAGCCATTTTAGTAATACTCCAAAAACTGGTTTAACAGGAAAAATTTGCGATGGCACCATATCACATATTAATAGCCACGATTAGTTCATATAATAAACAATTTCATCGTCATTTTGGCTTAAAAAAGTGCTTAATTTTGTGTACTTTCTGTTAGATGATATTTACTTCCGGTCAAAATGGCGGCCAGTTAAATTTTCACTCCAAAAACCAGTTTAACAGGAAAAACTTGCGATGGTACCATATCACATATTAATAGTCATAATTAGTTCTGTCATTCCTGATAATTTGGTGCTTTTAACAAAAAGTGAACAATCCGGTCCCAAATCTGCACATATGCACCCCACTAATAAGAAGAACAACAATTAGATTATAATATGGCTCAAGGGAAACCAGGTGATCACCACTGGGGGAGACTACCTACCTCATTTTAGTCTGCAAATCAGTATTAGCAGTTGCCTGTGAGAATATTATGACCTAGCTTAAGGAGACAAGGCTAAATATAATAGGATACATAACCCTCAATGACGGGACATAGAACTCTTCATCAGAGTATTATGTTACCAGTTTTTTATCTGATTATATTTGATTACCTTTGATTATATTTACATAGATATTGCACTCCATAAATTTTTGGATTAAATTAATTAGTTATCTCAGGGAAAACTTATCAGAATAAATGAAATCAGATCAGTGTGGTGTATAGCATTTGTTTCTTGTATTCTACTAGAAATCTCCTTCTTACAGCATCTTGAATGTTAAAGCCAGTTGTGTTTTGTGTTCAGTTCAGTTCAGTTCAGTTTATTGTGTTGCCAAAAGTTGTACAAAGAGAAGAAATTCTACAATATTTAAAAAACTATTGGCAAGGAAGCCTAAGGAAAACCACCCGGCTTATAAGGAATGGGCTCCCTCCCAGTTTGAAAACAAAAACGTTCCTTTTCAGTGGATGGCTTGACTCCAACAGCACGATAATAACTGGATATTAATTACAGTTAAAACCCGCGAGTAAGAACCTGAAAATTAAGAACCTGTTAGCCTAGAATTTGCCATTTATACCCCCTATAAACAAGAACCCGTTTAGCCTAGAAAATGAAAAACACGTTCTTATTTTTTAAAATCGTGTAAGTGAAATGCATCTGCAAAGCTGTGCAAAAATCCTGTTTGGAGAAATAGGAACTTGGCATTGCTGTGAAAATAAAAGGGCTAATTTATTGATGTAATTAAAAAATGGAGTGCAAGAGGTTAATATTGTTGTGTAGCATTTTGTAATACTGTACATCAATAAAACACAGCAATAAATCAGCATATTATGCAGTCTTAGGTACAGTGGTAAGCAAACATATAAAAAGGATCCCTCTTTTGATCTTAGAGGCAGTTTCTCTGTCAACCTCAAAGTTTTTGTTACAGTTAAGGCTAGGCAGCTAAGCAAAATATGTAACTGTGTATGTTATTTTTCTTGAGGGTGGTGGTGCTGGTGATGGGGGGGTGGGGATGATTGAAAAATAGGCTGATTACCATCTTGTTTTGTAGCTTTTTTTTTTTTACAGAAATAAGAATCTATATAAGATTCTACATAGCCTAAAATTGTGGTAACTACCATTTAAATTAGAATCTGTTTAGGCTAACTCCAGAAAAGGTCAGTTCATACGCGCAGGTTTTTACTGCATAGTGCAACTACTGTAACCAGAGCCACTTAGACAAAGTTGACCAATGGGATTACAGGAAAATAACAATACATTCCAAGAAAGTTGGTCATGGGCCAATCAGCCACTCGTTAAAAAACAAAGTGTTTCTTAAAGGACAAAATTTAAATTATTGACAGCAAAATAATGTTTTTCAAGAGGGCAAAATGTTTCACCAAAAAACGTTTTTCTATTCAAAACTTTATGTAAATTTTAACACCCAGGAGACATTTTTGTTTGGCACAAACTGTTATTTTATCATCTACCAGCAATTTCATCACTACCAGCCACGCTTTGCATTAACATCATGACCTCAAGTAGAAAATTAACTAACATTTACATTGTTTGTCTGCATCATTCAATCTATCGGACCTCTCAGGAAACTTGAGCCTTCTTCAGCAGGTTCAAAAGGTCACATAGGCTGTAATTGGTTGATTTCAATTCATGTTGGTTATTTCGATTAAGATTGACAACTAACTTTCTCGGAATGTATATTGTTTTCCCGTAATCTGATTGGTCAACTTTGTCTAGGTGGCCTCGGTTATAGTATGCACACTGTGATACATAGCATTACTTTTAATTGTAGGCAGAACTTTACTTGCACCCATCTGTTAGTAATGGTGATTCAGCAGTGTTAAAAGCCTTGGAACAGTGCCGTGCTCGGCTAAGAGATGAATCATTCAGAATGGCAGAGGTCAGTCACAGTTTTTTGTCATCAAAGGTTATGGAAAGTTTCAATAGTTTACACTTTCAATAGTTTACACTTGTAATATAAAAATAATAAAAAAGTAGTATACAAAATTAATCATTTGCACTGGTAATAATACATATGAAAAAAGACAAACATCACGTTCCTGTAGAGAGGATTGTAAATTAGACTACTTGCAGTCCGTCTTTTCTCTTAAAATCCCTCTAGTTCTTATCTCATGCAGCGCGATTGCAAACCAAGACGTTATTATTACAATTGAGATGAGACAAGAAAAGACGGACTGCTGACTCTTTTGTAGTAAACAAACCCTCCATCAGCCCAGAAACGGAGTAACCGATTGGTCAATTGCACAGCTGTTGACAGAGCATTAACTGGTCTGTGGTGAGATTGCAAGCAATAAAATATAGTCACGTGTTACAACCAACTGCAAACAATAGTGAACCACGCAGTAATCTCAGTAATAAAACTTTTAAGGATATCTTACAGAAGGAAACTGCTGTAAATTTCCTCAAGAGAAACGAATTCTACCGGATTTAAAGAAAGTGTAATTTTTTCAGTTGTTTATGTTCGATTTATAAATCGTTTCGAGTTACTCGGGTTTAACTGATTAATTAAATTACCTTGACAGCTTCGTTGTCCCCAGACAGAACAAAAGAGTCAGCAGTCTCTTATTTTTTCTTCTCGGGCTTATGCCCTCGTTTCTCACGGCTCGCGTGCTTAGGTTTTGCCTGCAGTAACTTTGCAAAGAAAAACAAGAGACTGCTCGCAGTCTAGTTTTAAATCTAAAAAAAAGGAATAAATTTTGTATCATTGGAAGTCAACTGATGTTATGTAAACTCAAGAAATGCAGACCACTTATATGGACACCAAAGGAATAGATCCAAGTGTGTGTCCAGTTTACAGAGTAACATGTCCTTAGGGCGGAGGTACACAGTTTGATATCTTTGAGGACAAAACTGGCTGCCCATAAAAAAGAGTCTGCACGCATGATGTCAGCCTAATGGAGGTTTCTTCTGTAGAGGTTACACTTCTCAGCTATTACTAGCCATTTTTTTAGTTCTTGCTTTCTCTTAGACATCTTAGTTATGCAGACACTTGAGCTTGTCCTTGAGATGTCTCTCTGGGAAGTGTTACTGTACTTTTTCTCTACTGTGTATTACCATTGATATTATTTCCTATCATTATACTGACTGACATATGCATGACATATACTGTTACTTACCTTCTTGTTAAATTCAACAAATAGAGAGAAGAAAAAGCAAGGCAAAATGAAGAGAGAAAACGTGAACAACAGTTAAGAGCAGCGAAAGCAGCTGAGGAAAAAGAGAAAAAGAAAGCTGAAAAGGAGGAAAGGGAAGTTCAAAAGAAAATAGCACAGAAACGTGAGAAGGTACAGATCAAAGGAAGTATTTTTTTTTTAAGTAGCCTGGTAGCTATGTGATAAAGTTTCTGTAACTTTTCATGTGGACAAAATTAATCTTTTTCAGGTTCCTTCTTTTAAGTATGGCTTTCTCCCACGATATCCCAGAATTCAAATTCTGCATGAACTGATATGGAAACTTGTTTATGGTAATGGTACTAACCAAAAGATGTCAAGTACAGTTGAAAATAGTCAAGTGGAAGGAAACTTTAGTGAAAATGATGAGTGCTTGAAGAACCTAAAACCCATGGAAAAAGTGCTTGATGAATACGGCAAGCCTCTCCAGGGCTGGTTTCGTTTTTGTGATGTTTTTTCAGTGATGCCTTTGGTGATAATTTGCAAAACAGTTGACATCACTGACGAAGTAGGTGTAGGTAATCTTGTCATTTATTATTCATTTGTTGCACAAAAGACTTGTGTTTCTGGGCACAGTATTTGGGGCCCCTGCAGTGAGTACTCCTTCAACTCCTGGCTCAAAATAATGGCTGGTCAATGGACAATGTCCAGACAGAATCATGGTAACTTGTCCAGCTCAAAACTTTACTTGCTGTTCATGTTGACTGATCATGCTCTTTATCATTCTTGAACAAACAGTCAAATCCATACCTGTAAATCTTGGTTTTTTTTGTCTCTTTGTAAAAATAAAAATAGAAAATTACACAAGGATTAGTTAACGTTTTTTGCCAATGTTTTGACCGGTCAGAAACAAGCCTTGACCAAGCAAAAACTTCTTTGGTTGGTCATTGTGTCCGGCCTTCAGCCAAAAAATTATTTTGAGCCCTTCAACGTGATTTATTTACTCTATTTCATTCATATGGGAAAACTCCAACTGCAATGCAGTGAACATTTTATTTGAGAATCTACAGCAATTGATAAAAAATACTGGAAGTTACACAAACCATCAAGTAGCCTTTTGCCAATATACAGAGGCCTGGCAACACAATACTGCTGCTGCTGCTATGGACTTTTGTGTGCTGATCTCTCAAGGATAGCTGGTGATCAATCACTTCTAATGAAAGGGCTGAAAAGTACAAGGTTGTGAGAAAATGCTCAATTGAAACTGTTTAATTGCCTTTGTGCATTTTTGATGTCATATGTCCATTATTAACGCTTTCTTTTAATTTAATGTGCTAAAGTAGAGACTGATGAGGTGAAAAGCTTCCCACTTCATCAACATACCCCCCCCCCACCCCCCATAGCCTCTCTCGTAACATGTATGCATGCTGATCATTCAGTTTTATGAGCTGCTTTCCGCCCTTAGATTGAAGGTTTTGATGAATATGTGCTTGATCCTGTAAAGAAGTACACTCTTCTTTGTGATCTTCCGCTGCCCCTTAGAAGCAGAATTACTGAACATAGGTAAGCCAGTAAGATAATATTTTAACAGTCATCTGAACTGAGGCCCCATTGAAGGAATAAGCATTATATAATACGGATTTTTTGCAGAAACTACTAAACAGACAACTACTGGACTGTAAAGCTAATGTCTTGTTTTGTTTTCCATTTTGTAGGAAAGTAAAATCAGCTCCACTGGATTTACTGGTTGTAATGGCTCAGATGGGTTTAATTACCCCTTCTCTACCATTTCCAGTCTCTCACAGAGATGTATGTAATGATTACGATTGTTTCAGCACTTTAGTATTTAAAGACAAAATCCTTCATTTTCATTTCAGTGTTGCAATAATTACAATCTAAATGTAAACACAGTTTCTGTTGTTCTACCAAACTTTCGTTGTGTTGTGGGTTTTTATCTTCTTTCAGATAAAGCTGTTTTTAAACAAAGGTGTTAAACTGCTGGACACATCAGTATCTCAGCCTGGCTGGTACACTGCTCGCCCACCAGATGGTATGACATCTTTTGCTGTACGTACCCATATGTTCACAAGCATGGCTGCTCTTCGGAGTTATTGGAGTGACCTAAAATGTGTCTGTCTCAACACTCCTTTGGGTAAGTGGAAAAGATATTGATTACAAATTAATCATTTAAGGCTTTCAAACAGCAGTGTGGATTAATTCTTGCCCCCTCCCTCCACGTCCTGCCCACCTCATTCGAGTTAAAATGATTTGATTTGATTTTTATTTAATGGCTGTTTTCTTTGCATTTGTATCCTTCCCTGTTTTCTAGCATCAAACCTCGAGTCTTCAACTTTTTTAGGTTCAGTCAGTTTCACTTGAAAGTAACCAGTTGATATAAATTAAATTCCAGTTGAGACAAACAACTTTTCTGTATACTCTGTATACTACAGTCAATTTGTTCGTTCGTACATTAACATTTTCAGGAGTAGCTCGTAATCTGGAAGAGAAAGACATTGAAGGTCGTAGAAATACAAAACTAGTTTCCCTTGCTAAGAAGGAGGTCGATGAAAACAGGGTTGATCTTCCACCTGGAGACCAACTTGGTGCCGGAGGGCTTGACCGTCGTCTGTTTGCCTACTTACCAAAGAACTGGGCACGGCTTGTCACCTCTCTTGCACTGCAGAAAGGAGTCCAAGAGAAAGAAAGGTCAGTTCATTGATAAGTTTGCCTGTTGTATAAAATAGCGTTCAAGTTTAAGTTGGTTTATTTTTAATTCGACAGTGTGCTGCACTTAACTTTGCACCCCTCGAAAAGTTTAATCCAAACCAAATTTGAGTCTTACGTGACACTGAAGTAACTTAATCTCTGGCACTTTTGGTATACTGTTGACCCAGTGTTGATACATTTCTATATATATATATAATTAGGACGTCATTACCGGCACCATCCGTCATCCCTGTAGCAAAGACAGGTGTGGATAACACAAATAAGTCTGGCAGTATTCGCGGTCCTGACCAGGGGAAGAAAAAGTCGTTTTTGAGCCTGGGAAGAGCAGAGATGAAGAAAAAGGCAAAGCAGCAGAAAAAGAAAGTTTCGCGTAAACGAAAAGCCGAAGGTAGGTTGATTTAGACTGTACTGACATGCTTACAACGTATTTATTCCTTTGACACATAAAGGAACAAAATGTTAAGTTGCTTCTGTGCATTATAATGAACAAAGATGTAGTTAGCCTGTAATTAAAATGACTTATCGTGTTGTACCTACCTACCTACACAGGCAAGCAAGTCAGGCAACGTGTAATCTAGATAAATAGGTTCTTGTGCGAAATAATAGTTTTTTACAGTCATATAATATTAATATGAATGTCCACATCTTGAAGGTCACTGTGTTTTTTTTATAATTGCAGATGCACAAAAATCTGAAGGAGTGAAAAAAATCCGAACTAATAAAGCGAAAACGTCTGAGAAAAAGAAAGATCGTAACACACATGTCAGTAAGTATAAAGCATAGTAACTTAATTTCGTCCACGGAACAAAAAGGGCTTAATGGTGTCTTAAACTTAGAATAATCGCAAATTGTATCTTATGTTTGCAAGAAAATGATGCAATGAACGAAGTATGAAAATTGATTTATTTTTCACTTACATGTAGTGAGGTAAGAGAGTAAGTGCAAAGCGAATTTCAGTTGACTGCAGACTTTGTATCAGTTATGTTTCAATATACACTCCATATTGCCTCAGTTCTGGACTCGCAGCATTCTAGTATCAGTTCTCAGAGTAAGATATCTCACCAAAGCTGTGTGTGTGTCGCTGTTTAAAGAAAAGAGGGTCATTTTTTCTTTGTCTTGTTTTTCTCTTTTTGTACCTTCACTAGCTGCTGTTGATGAAGAAGACAAGAATATTTTGGCAAGGAAAACTTGTGAAAGAATCCAGTTTTCAGCCGAGGAGGACAGTTGGGTAAATTAACGTTTTCACCTCATATATAATAATCTTTAAAAAGAATATTACAAATTTGGGCTTCCACAAAAATTAAGTACAAACAACGGCAATTTGCACATTACTACAAAGAAGGTATAAAACGGAACTAAAAATTCGACATCATCATTGCCGGGTTACCAACCCTAAGGCCGGTCAACCATTATAGCGTACCTCTGCCGGCGCGAAGGTAGACACACCACGAGTCATTAATCAACACCGCTGAGAAAAGGGCAGCTAAACTCATTCAAAATGGGACACTTTGGTATGGAACTGTTAAGGTTAGCACCTTGCATAACTCAGGTACAGGCGACACTTCGTTATTGTAAACATTCTCAGCCGAGAAACCATCTTCAATCATGCAACTCTTTCTTAGCAAATTCAAAACGTACACACGAATGCCGTGTCTCAAACGTATGTGAATTTCACACGAATGATTCCTTTATAGTCTGATATGATTTTCCCTTTCGTTTTTGATGATATGTAGTTACTGCTGTTCCATATTGCTCTTGGTATCATGAAGAAAGAATCGACTGGTTTTGGTCCATCTGTTTATATGAGAAACATTTTACACAAACAGTGTGCGGTAGGTAAATATGAGAAGACAAGGTGTGTCATTCTTAAATCGGAGGCGCCACCGGCTGCTACTGTCAGTTAGACTTTTGCTTACCTAATTGACGTACATTCCCTTCCCTGCCCTTCGAAGTGACTATAACAAAGGATGAACGGAACAGACGGACGGAGTAAAAAGGTTATGTTAAGGTCTACGCTATACCGGATAACTTATCATGCCGGCATACTATGAACACTTGTTCAAACTGCGCTGCGCTCACCTATCCCGGCGATATGTGACGCCGATCCACTTTTAAGATGGGCGCGGCGCAGCCTCGCTCTGTTACAAAATCCGAGCCGCAATCTCTGTTATAATCATGAAGCCCAGTCATCCGAAATGGTTTTCTTATCGGTGCAAAAGCTCAGTATCCGGTATAGTGTAGAGGTAGCCTAACTGATTTTTGAGGCGCACATGTTATCCTAGTATCCTTGACGGCATGTTAATAACTGATTTGAAAATTTACAATTGTTGTATTTTCCACTAAGTAAGTTCAATAATTCAGTACCAGCCATCGTTGGTCTAACAGTAGGAAATGGTTCGGTAATCTCCCGTGACTTGCAAGTTGGTGCGTGTTTTCCTTTTGACGTAGATGTAATTCCATTGCAAAAAAAAAGAAAGAAAAACGTTTTTACCTATACCCTAACCATTCAGATCAAATGTCGTATTTTAAGTGCTGTGAATTTCTAGTTTAGTAACTTGAAAACATAAGGGACATGGGATGTTCAAAAGGCAAAATACAAGATCACTAATAGAAGGAATTTAAGAGTGTTAAATTTGGAGATTTTTCGATCTTGTCTCACTCTATGAGGCTACCAAACATGTGCCATTTACCTGGTGCAAGGACCAGTCAGTTATTCAACCTAATTTTATCTTTGTTGTTTTGTAGGCAAGTTTTGATAAAACAGCTCCCAATATTCACCGCAGGATTTTGAAACTGATGAAGTATCCTCAGTCGCAAATGACTGTTAAAGTTTGTTCTGTGGAATGTGCTCATGATAAGGTGCGCCTCCGGAATGTATTACAGTATTTCTATTTATATGCTCAACTGAGATTACGAGTCGTTTCGGGGCGTCTGAAAATGCAACTTAGCCGGCAGTTGGTAAAATAAACGTCAATGGCACACCATAAAAAAAGTATTTTTGAGCTTTTTTGTCATTGATGGGATGTTGTTTCTGGCTTAAAACGTTAAACTTAGTACCAGGTGAAACAGCATCTATATGTTGATTTTTTTCTTTACTGATTAATCGCCATTGTCTTACTCAAAATGTTCTGGAACTGTTCATACGTTTTCAAGTTACAGTCTTGTTTGTTTTTCTCTTCCAGCACAATATTGTCTTATCACTCTCATGCGATGTGTTTTGCTTCTCTTCTACAGTCATTCCAAGGATTTGACGATCCAAATGCTGATTTTGAAAAGACATTTAAAGAAGTAGTTAAGAGGTTAAGGCAGAAGTTCAGGTTAGTTTGTTACCTTCCAGGTTCCGCAATATACTATTCAGTTGTTCAGTCTAGCTGTGCAGGCACACTTCAGTAGCACCGACTTTTTTCGTATGAATATCGCAATCTCTCAAGATCTCTCGTGTGTGGCTAAATAATTTCCCCGCCTTTATGTTACTCAATAATGCAACTGGCTCACATTTTTAGAGACCTGTAGCTACATTTTCTTTAGTAAACAATTTCATGGTAAATAATCTACCAAAAGAGTTTTAAAAATCTCTGCCATACGTTCTACAACAATCTCTTCCCACTAAAGAAATAATTTTAAAAAAAGTCATTTGATCAAATTCTTCGTACTTATGGTTCCTTTTTCCTTCCTTTTTTTTTTTTTTTTTTTTTTCCCTTTTAAAGCACTTTCATTTTTTTTTGGGGTGGGGGTGGCACTTTTTTTTCGTTCATAAAAAAGCTTCAATACAACTACAAAATTAAACCCACGGTTTTTAAGGATGAAAGTTTTAATCTTTGTTTTAGATAGAGAGTAAGATAAAACAAAGAATTTTTTTTCAATTCATTTGATCAAATTCTTCGTACTTATGGTTCCTTTTTCCTTCCTTTTTTTTTTTTTTTTTTTTTCGCCTGTTACCGCACTTCATGTTTTTCTTGGGATGTGGTTGGCACGTTAGTTGCGTCGATAAAAAAGCTTTTTTAAAACTAAAAGGTTAAACCCCTGGTTTTCAAGGTTGAAAAGATTACTTTTGGTTTTAGTTGAAGGTTAAATATAACCAATAAAGGTTTTTTGTTCAATTTTTTCGTTTTTATTGTTCCTTTTTTTTTCTTTTTTTTTTTTTTTTGCTCGCCTGATACAGCACTTCAAGTTTGTCTTGGGATGGAGATGGCACGTTAGTTGCGTCGATAAAAGAGCTTCATGACAACTACAAAGTTAAACCACTGGTTTCTAAGGATGTAAGTATTACTCTTGGATTTAGCTGAAGAGTAAGATAAACCAATGAATGTATTTTCAAGGAAAACAGTTGTTGTCAAATTTAGTTATAAATGTAATGTGCCACTTGTTGACAAATTTAAACCAATTTAGTGACCACCTCGTTTCCAAAGGATCATTTAGCTTTCAGGTTTTGACCATTCTCGTATCCCGAGGCCGCCATCCTTTTGATCATGATTCGAGTTGCGTTTACGTTGCTGACCAAAAGAAAGGCGAGCTCTGTGAACAAGAGTTTTTCTTTTACTGAGTCTGGTGCGCGTGCCCAGTTTTATACCCACATCCAATCATCAATTGACGAGCGGCTTGTGGTGGAACTAAGCCTTATTTGCTTGTTTTGTTTCAGGAATGTCTGTCAATGAGTTCTGTGATCAAGACTGTCAGTGATATTAATAAAGCAGCTCTGAGGGATCAGATACAGGTTTGTAAACTAAGGCTGTTGTCCGCCAAATAGAGCGCTCATTTTCCTCTTTGTTTTCCCTTCTAGGTCTTTGGTTTCGGGTGGTAGGTTTTTGTTTTTGATTTTATAGACACCCATTTTTGTGCATATAACTACTTGTTATCTGTCTGCAGGTCGTGGCATTTCAGATGGTTTAAATTGTGCCCCTAAAAAGGAAAGAGGCGGAAGTGCTGCTAATCAACGTGCTTGATTTGTTCTCTACAGATTGCTTTAACAACACCCCGAGAAATATACGATGCTTACAGAGTGTTCCAAATGTTTAACTCTTTTACTAAGGTAAGCTTCTTTGTTATTTTTCAGTCGCTGTCGGTGTATACTATTGATCACTTTCACGGCTCTTATTTGGGTTGTTCCTATCCGTTCTATTTCGCCCTGTTACATGGTGCATCTACTAAATCCTGGTTTATCTTGCTGCTGCTCTTGGCGTATCTGGCGTTTAAATGTGAAGCTACGGTAATGGAGTCCAGACAGACGGCCTCAAGGCCCAAGGGCCCGGATAATTCGTTCAAAAAATGCCCTGCATCTCCTCCCGCTCCCGCTACCCCTTGGGCTGGATCTGCCACTGCATGGTGTCATATGAATTAACAAAGCATTAAAAAAAGCAATAATAATAATAGTACTAATGAAGCTGGTGCATTTTTAGGTCCATTTAATGGCTCATAGTTTTTGTCGTTATGACTTTGCTTGCTAGCTATGTTACACTCATCTCGTTACACTGATTGGTTTAACCCAGGCTACTGTTGCCTACCTATAACATGCAATTAAAACTGTAACACCGAGTTATTCCTCCTTCACGTTTCAGGTTATGATAAATTTAAGGTTGCCTTTTCTTCCAACAGCACTGTAATTTTCAAAGTAGCTCACAAACGTAATCCGTGCATGTTATTCCTTAGGAAGAACTTACTGATGTGTTTAAAGAGATGCAGAAAAACAACCTGGTCAGGAGAAGGGTAGGTTCAGTTTCTAAGTGCAAGAGTCACGCTTCCCTAACGGGTTTTCCGTTCAACATTCAATCCTTTTTTGCGTTCTTTTTTGGTTATGTTTGCTTATCGGAGATGAAACGAGGGTTAAGTTTTAGTTACAATACAGTTTTACCTTCCAAAGCCTATTACAAGTTGTTGGACAGGATAAGTGCTGGTGAGATGATGACCCTGAGTATGTTGTTGTCATGAAGGTTTGAATGAATAATTAAATGAATGATTTATTTAATGTCGAAGACGTGGGAAGTGTTTGCACAATCTTCCGAGCCAGAGGCTCATGTTAAAAACGCTCGACAAACTAAAAAATACAAAACAATAAAAATGTGAATTATGCATATACAGATATTAAGAAAAACCTAAAAACATCGTAATTTTGGGAAAATTTTTTAAGAAACTATTTTCTGGAAAAAAAAAACTAAAAAAAACCTAAGAACATGCATTAAAAATAGTTTAAAACGGACTAATCTTTATAAACTGATTAAAATATTAAAAAGTATAATTAAAATGAAATGACGAAATTCAAACTGATCATCAAAAAGTATAATTAGATATGATTATATATCTACAAACTAGCCCAAGAGTATGTAAAAATGTAAACATAGATAAAGTTATATACAGTTCATACACTGGCACCCTGTGAAATTGACATTATTCATCTCTGACGCACTGTATGTATTGTTTGTTTCTCGCTATTCCTGTACAGAAAACAATCGAGGATCCTCAGAGCAGCAGTCAGTTTTCTAGGTCCCTACCTTTTGCTTCAATGACTTACCAGCTCAGTCCTCTGTAAGTTGCTCTCGGCTGTTTCTTGTTTTTTGTGTTACTATAAACGAGAACATGAGCCGTCTATTGTCAACAAGAACAGATTACTGCAGAATACATCAGTACACAAAGTGTTCCCTGGCGCGTACAGGGGGAACCTGAACGGATTTACACATTACACCATCTGTCTGCAAAGTTCTCTAACAACCAAAAAAAAAGGAACTCTTATTTCTCGAGAGAAAACAGTTAATATGGGTTCATTTACATTTTGATAAGGTTAAGTAGGACGATGTATGTCACACTTAATACCTAGAGAGCCTGCCATAATACATTTGACCAGAAATCATCATTGTTTTGCAATTTACAACTGTTCTACTCAGGTATCACCGTCTGTTCTTACAAGCTTTCAAGTTGGTTACATTGCACAAAGATTGTGCAAAGTTCTGGACTCGGCTTGTGAAAGGAGAGCAACAGCTAGCACAGCCTAGCTGCCCAGGCTCCTTAGAAGTCAACTCTAAGAATACTTGTGGTGGAGACGTGGCTTGTTTTCTCTCTCTTCTGGCAACAAACAAGGTCAGGAAATGTTTTGATACCTGAAAGGATTTATCTCCAAATCATCACTTATTGTTCGCTTCTTAAAATATCAAACTAATCTCAAAAGGAGTAGTGGGCCTTGCCTCTTTGAATATGTGATGTGCACCAGCACAGCACAGAACTTCATGTTTGCATAGCTGAGGCTTTAGTGATTGGGCCGGGCGCGATCAGACAGCCTTAGGAGTTAATGAAGATTCAAGTGATATCGGTATAACGCAGTAATGTGCTGATGACATACGTTGAAATGATGAATAGGAAACATATATAGAACGTTTTTTTATGTGTATTTCACGTACGATCCAAGAATGTAGAATGGTTCAATGGCAAACGTATTAGATAACTTGGGATTTTTTATTTTGCTTTTCGGTTTTAACAAATCATCATTGATAAGAACAGATTTTTATCTAATTTAAACTCAGGTGTATGTTGAGATGAACATTCCTGATACCATCCTCAACATGGATGCGTCAGGATGTAACACTAATGTACAGCAACAAGCAGATGAGGACACAGTTGAAGTGAGTACGCCCAGCATTATAACACTTGTCGCTTATTCGTAACTTTTCTCTTAGCAGTTGTGTTTGCCACAGCTTTTCACTCAGGGTGATAAAATTTTTTTTTATTGAAGACAAGAACATCATTTTCCTATTTGTAATTGTGTTTAATATTACTTCATTGCCAGGTACCAGCTGAGGTGACCAATAGGGAGAATGGCGATGTATCACTGCAGAAGAGAAATAACACAGGTCCTTGTCAAGTACCTAAACAAAATAAACCAGGTGCTGATCATGTGTCTCCATCCACTGTCACCTCACCACAGAGTGGGGAGACTGGGGAGAGCGGGGAGAGTGGTGGAACATCTCAGTCAACTTCATCAGTGATGAATAAAGGCCCGGATTCAGTAACTCAGTCGTATGTTATCACAGAATCCCCCGAAAGAACTGACTCTGGTCCATCAACACCAGTGAAGGAAAAACCAGATAAACGTAAACTTTTAACCTTGAGTGTACCTTCTTCAACAGTGGCAAGATTCACCAGTCCTTACGATCTTGCATCTGCGAAGGAAAGTGGTGACTTTCTGAAAAGTTGCCCTGAGACTTGTGACGAGGAACCCAACACTTCTGAAGTCAGAAAAGTAACTACGGTTCCAGTCGCATCTCTAACATACAACAGCTTCACATCCCGATCATCTAGAACAGCCCTAATGTTAGCAAGGGGCGGTAAGGATCCCTATGTATCTATTAACCAGCTGCCAGCTAGGCCTTTCAATACACACGACTTTATGACTTTATATCACATCAAAAATGTTGTTAGATTAAAAGATGACAGTGATGGAAAAGTGCAAAATGAAGCTGACGCAGACAGAATTACAAGTTCTGATAAAGAGCCTGGACCAGGAGTTAGAGTAACATCAAGCAAAGTGACAAGTTTAGGGAAAACAGCTCCTTTCAGTCAAGACGCAGTTAATGATGCTGTCACTTCACCTGTTATTGTCACCAAGAGTGAATCAATAGAAGAGTATTTGCTTCGGATGAAAACGGAGTTGGTTTTTAGTGAAGTGGATACTACTTTGTCCAGAGATATTCACCATCTTGTTGACGAGCGCAGAGAGTTTGGTTTTCCTGTGGTTCAGTTACAGGTAGGTCATTAGGACCTGAGGCATGATTGCGAAGTTCAGACTCAGTTCAGTCTCGCTGAACATCAAAAGCTGTTTTTTAATTAACTGACCTTGATTTGTTTGATGTTGTAGGAAAAATTCTATAAGAGCCATGAGCAAGACTTAAAAGCATCACAGTACTCACTAGATGAACATGTACAGTTCTTGTGTGCAGCTAAACAGGTACCTGAACCACTAGACTTACTGAAACGTGGATGAAAAAAATTCTTGCTAATAGCGTCTTCACAGGCTTCCGAGCCATGAGGCTCATCTTAAAAACTTTCGACACGCTAATGTTATACGGAAACTATGGTACATAAAAGTGAACGTATACAAATCATCCTGTAATCATTTTTAAAAATCTTTGCCATATTTCAGATGTACAAAGTCGGCTTTTATGAGATTTGTCTGGTTACTTCAAGCTTCGTGAAGCCGTGGTGTGTAACGTTACTCAAGGTACAATTTTTTAACGTTATTTTCTGCTTTCTTCCTTGCTTTTTTGTAACCCTCCAACTTTTTCCGTCCTTCCGTTTCGGTGCCACAAATGGCTTGAAGAATTTAGTCTACCGGCAGTTTCCGGCAGTGAATCGGACAAATATTCAGTGTTTTCAGGCAAATCGCTCATTGCTGCTGCAGTAAAAAATGTCCAAAACCATTAAGCACTACCAATCCAATCATCTTCCTGAAAAAGAAAAAAAAAACAGCGTACCCGGCATTGCGTCGCGGCGGCGTCAACTGTGGATTATACGGCCGCCTTTTCCTTCTGCTATCATTTTCCTAAAATTGGTATTTATAAATATGTAAATGGAACAAATTTGTTTAATAATTATCGTCTTTATTTGTATTTTATTTAGCCCAAAAGCAGTTCCAAAGAAGCCCCAAGCGTGATAGATGTTGAGTCATCAAACAGCAACAACGAAGAGGCGGGTGATATTACGTCATACGAAGGAAAAACAGAAGTTATTGGACAGGATAATAATGGTTTGGAAATAACAGGAATTATCACAGAGGATGCAAACACGTGTGAGAGAGACCAGCCGCCTGCTAATCCACAACTTAGTACGGAATGCAGTGCGTCACCTTCAATTGATTCGAAAGGAGCAGATGGAGATAACGATGACAATACAAAAGACGAGAATGAAACAACCAGTTTGTCCTTTGATCCAGTGGCTGGTTTATTATCCAAACAGACGGAAACGCCAGGCGTGCAAAAGAAGAAATCCAAAGATAGGTTAGTAGCAACTATACATATCGATCAACCCAAGGATACAGCTCAGTTTAAATACTCATTATTCGAGTCGCTGAACAGTAAACGAAAAAAGCTCGTGGAGAAGAGGTCCATACAGATTTTCGTTCGAGGGTTACACAGACACCTTTCACCCATACCTACAATAAAAACCTAGTGAAAAGCATGAAGGATTCGATCATTAGCCGTCGCAGAAGCAACTGGCGATTATGAATGGTTTGAAGAGGAGAAGAAAATAAGCGCCAGGGCTCGATAGTACTGCGTAGTTTAGCCATCGTATTGGTAGCCACGCCAGACCCCTTTTCCAGCTTTTTGTTTGTTTTTCCAGGCTATACTGTAGTGATTTATACGCAAGACACGGAACGCGTGTTGTGTCGGTGGCTAGTGGTGGGTATTTACCTCGTAGCTAACGCGGCCTCGGCAAATAACCACCACTAGCCATCTCCACTTCGGTGAATAATTTTTATTTATGTGTGTGATATTTAGCCCTTCTGACCTCATTTGAAAGTAAGAATTCTTTTGTATTTTGCAAATGCTATCATACATATTTAACAATTATTCCACGAGTGCGCGTTGGATATGAGATGGTAGATACGCGCCTCATCTCATATCCAACAAGCGCGAATAGACGAGTACAGTTACCACATTTGCTGAGCACGGTTATAATGGCTCATATGTCATGATGGCTAAGCCAGGCAGAGCTCTAGAATTGCATTATCCAATGATTCAGTTTTTAATAAAAAAGAATATATTAACAGGCGGCCATTATAACAGAGGTCTATACTTGACTGGGAAAAAGCTTGATAATTGATATTCAATATGTTGCAGGAACTTTGACCGCTACTCAGTGGTTTGTCGTCCGTGGATCACAATTGATGGCACCTCAAGTAAGCACTTACTGCGCATGTTCAGGGAAATGGTACTTATGTTAATTCTGGACAATCCCGGCATTCCAGAGGTGAGTGGTATGAACAGCGTGCAAACAACGGTGGAACTGATCGGTTCCTAACGTGAAACATCCGTCTCCTGCACTGATGCCATTACTTCAGCATGATAAGATTATCATTTCTCCAGGTGCATTTATCTCACTGGTTACGTCTGTTGATTAGACCAAGGATTCAATAATCGAAAGTTGGAATTTTTCTCTCGTCAGGCTACTGCTCTCTTTATGATTCACGGCAAATCCCTGCGTAGTCCCTAGGCCCCATTTTTTCCGCGCAGCCTGTGCGTTTCGAAATGCATTGACCGAGAAGGCCTGGGAATACACGGTACAGTTGGGTGGAAGCGGACTGAAGGAGTCACTCGTTTGAATATTTTTTGATAGTACTTGAGATATTTGTGTAGTCATGTCTCGCCTGTTATTACACTGTAACGATTTTCCATTTTGGTTAATGACTATCAACTTTTGCGTTGTCGCATTCCAATTTTTTTGTTGGCGATGATCGATGTGTAAAAAATAGATAGTGAACTGGGGCCCATTTCTCAAAAGACCCGCTGACTTTTCGGGCCCGAGGGCAAATTTTAAAATCAAACCTGTTGAATAGTAGCACAGTTCCTACCCGACAAACCAGTCAGTTTTGCTTTGTTAACTAATAGTTTCATTTAATCATTACTCTGCTCTTGAATGCAAACTTGGTAAACATTAAACAAGAAACGGACTTTCAAGAAACGGGCCCCTGGTCTCCAAACATCTCTTAACATACAAAAAAATTGAGTTCTGCAAAATATCACCATTCCAAGATCGCAAAATTAGGGCCAACAAAGCAGAGCAAGTGACGTAAAATCTAATCTAAACTGTAAACCAGCAGGAAAAGGAAGAGAACTCGTGTAGTCGTAGCCTCTAGCTGGCATATTCTCCTCTTCCCCCTTAGGTAGTTATAGGTCGCACCTTTATCAGTTTTGTGTTCTTGGTATGTACAGGGTCAAATTGCTAAACATGTGTTTGAAGCACTACGGCCTGCGGCATTACAGGATATCCTCCAGGTAATTTAGTCACCTCATCCTACTCAACAAGGTATTGTAAGTGAACCAAGTACTCTAAAGAACAATGCAAATTCTGACTGCCTGTAGTAATTGTCGTAAATAACGTTCAACGTGGTCACAGTTTTGGTCATCAGATTCTCCCCAACATGTCGAGGAGCCTTCCTTGAAGTTCTCTCAATACTTAAAAGAGTTTGGGGAAGAAATATCAGTCTCTTCACTCAGCCTGCGCTCAGTGCAGTGCCGAGTGTCACAATGTTTTAACTGTTCTATATTCTGTTTATTGTTGTAATACCCACTTCATGATGAGCAACAGCATAATTCATCTAAACTGTGTCTCGTTGATCTTTGACATCCCTTTTTTGTATCTTAGAGTCTTATTCAGGATGGCTGCATCGTTAAACACTTAAAGCAAGTGCCACCAAAGATGGCTCTTTTCACTTCGTCGGAACGGCAAGGTAAGCTGAGGCTTTGAATAGCTATACATCGGATAAGCCGAGTTCCACGCGCGCGCCATCTATCCATTAGCTTGGTGGTCACGTGACCGCACGTCCTTCCACCCGTCCCTCCGTACCTCAGGGCAACCAATATGAAATCTCACACTTTCTTGCTCTTGTGGGAGGTTGCAACATGATGTTGTACACCAATGCTGTGGTCAATTGACAGCTGTCAAAACAGGGTATCCGCTGTCCTATATAACATGATTGATCGTGGGCTCAGGTGTCGACCCATCGTGGTTGGGTGTTTCTTTTTAAGTTATTTAAGTTACTAGTTTTCAACTGATCGCAGGCTCAACTCCAAGTGGATTTCTTTGCAAGTTTGTTTGAAATGAATTATGAATTTATTAACGGAAGCGGAAGCTCCTAGCCCGTTGGCTTAATCTGCATATTAATCACATTATTAATTAGCAATCTTCTTACTATAGCTAACGTTTGAGATTATTACTTTATTACTTTACAGAGCCAACTACAACAATGGCTTACTACACGCCAACAGTTAACTGCATTTTTAACTTGGCGACAAGCAGAAGGACAGGCTATACGTGATGTCTACCGGCTCCCGTATTTTGACTTCGCAGTGAGACAAGACAGGCATTGCTGTGTGCAAGGCCGACATACTTTTTGAGATGATAAAAACATGTTTTAATAATTGTCAGATTTTAGTTACAGGGAGATTAAAGTTTGTCATGTATTTGAAAGTATGTTTCTGAAGTTAATGTTTAAAATGCCGTATTATTTTTGAAAGCCCAGGTCCGTTTGTACTTGCCAGCATCTACGTCTGAAGGCAAAAAAAAAAATGGTTTCTGCCCATGTCCGAACGTCCAAGATTTGAAAGGAACTTTAAGTTCTCTATGGAAAAGACGTTAAATTCGCGAAAAAACGGGAATATATCATCATCATACACAGGAAATTCCTTATGTTGTTCAGATGTTTATAATTTAGCTCAAAAATTTCGTTCAAATTGTCAAGATTACTGGTCACGCAGGACGGAGGAAAGTTGCCACGGGCAGGCGAGTTATCTCCAACAGAGCGTTTACGAGGCAGGTAGGGTAACCTTATTGCTAGGGTAACCCTAGTACTCAGGTATGGTTACCGTAGCGCTTGGGTAACCCTACCTGCCCTTTTAAACACGTCGTGTAAAAAAAGAAGAAATGTGCGAGTGCTTGGTTCACCCTTTGCTTCCTTGTATACAGGGCCTTAAGGTGATGTTATACGAGACGATTCGCAACGAAGATTTTAGCGCAACACAGCGTTGCAATATTGTTGCGACATTTTTTTGAATGGTTACAACATTGTTGCAACACTGCAACGCTGTGTTGCGCTAAAAATCGTCGTCGCGAATCGCACCGTGTAACATCACCTTTAAGAAACGACGACGACAACGGCAGTGAAAACGTCGCTAAAAAACAGGAGCCGATTACTTGTAATAAGTAATCGGCTCCTGTAAAAAATGAATTTGCGTTCTTTCAAACTTAATCGCGTCCATACATTTGGACCAGCTCGATATGTCAAATGCAGCCGACTTTTCCTGAAGTTGAATTCTCCAGTATTTCATTCAAGTTCAAAAAGAGGAAGGAAAATTCGTCGTCGTACGTCCACTTCCTCCATTAAACGTCAAATTAGGTTTCACGTCGTAGTCGAGCAAACGACGTCAAAGAAATGTACTAAAAAGCGTCATGCACGTGCAGAGCTGTTGTTTTGATCATTAAACCTATTGTTTTTTGAAGTTGTCGTCGTTGTCCTAGTTGCTTAAGCTTCCTGTTTTATGGACGACGTGAGCATACGACGACGAATTTTCCATTCTCTTTTCAAAGTCCTTAACAAGTTAACTCCAGGAAAAGTCGCCTACATTTGAAGAATTGTTAGCGGCTCCAAACAGACGCGCTCCGCGATAAAGTGGTCAACCAGACAGTGACTAGAAAACCGGTGGACGGCAGAGAGGGTGACCAGGGTTTCCCGCCTTTTTCCGTTTGCCGGCCGCTGTTTCAACGCGAGGAAGACATTTTACCTGTTTGGAGGAAAAACGTGAGTATTTGCAGCGCATTTTTACCGGCTTTTTCTTATTTTTTATCGCTAGTTTTTGTAGCTATGCTTTGTTTATCATCCTTTACAGTTAATTTTCAAATATTTTAAATATTTAGACAGTTTGGAAACCAGTTTCCAATTCTGCAGTGTCGACGGGAAGCTTAAATAAAAGGCGGCTTACGGTCGTTTCGCCTACGTCCTGTTCGCTTACGTCTTAAGTAGTTTCGCTAACATCTCCTAAGTCATTCTTGAATTAAGAACGAAATTATCGAAAATCTAACACGCACTAGGAGGCAGCGTGGCCGAGTGGTCAGCGCGTCCGACTCCCGCAATCCGGCAGTCCCAATTCGAGTCCCGCTTTAGCCACTTGCTGGATTTGTCGTCGCTAGCCCTGAGTTTAAAAATTCGGCCACGCTTGTAAATAGCCAACTGGTTGCCTCCTGCCAGTTTGGGTTTTTAATCCTGTTATGCTGTATTTGAATTATTTGTTTCTAAGTATTTGAGTGAAGTGCCCGTGAACTAGATGGATAAGCTAAGTGCACTTTCCACTAATTTAACCAGGGCTAAAAGCGAAGCTCTTGATAATATTTTTAGTTTGTTCAAACAAAATTTAAAATCGTGTAATGCTAAGCGGCGAAGGCAACGCCCGAGAATGGTGAAAAACAACAATAGGTCTAATTAGCAAAAAGAAAACTTTGCACGTGTAGCACACTTTTTCTGTACATTTCTTTGCCATTGTTGTGCACGACTACAACGTGAAACTTCCAGAAACTTCTTGGTTACACGTTCAATGGAGGAAATGAAGTACGTGTTCTATTTCACTTTTTTTTTCACTGCCGCTCATTTTCACCTTGCATTGGTGGCCGCTAGCATTTCTTCATGTTGTTCTTCCAACAACGTTTTAGTCTTTATTGACTCTTTAGTTGTCTCTGCTTCACAAGACGCGGGTGGCTATTCGATTTCCCGTCGACTTTCCCGTCAAAATAACCTCGCGTTGCATTTCGGTTGCCATACATTAATTCATTCATTCTTTATTTGCCATATATATAAAATTTTACAACGCAAGATGGAAATAATATGAGATTAAAGAAAAAGTAAATGACGAGGAGACCTAAAAGAAACCGCGAGGCTTATAATGAGTCAGGTCTCCTCAACTTACGGATCATCTATTCTTGACATAATAATTACAATATGGGCTTAAGATGGCTAACTTTGACCGCGGACTCACACACACACACACTCACATGTTAATTTATTAGAGCCATACTGAAGCTAATACGTACTAAGAAGGAATTCTTTAAGCTTTCTTTTAAAAGAAGCGGAGGAGGACTAACCAGTTCTAGTAGAATTCAGCGAATTATAAAACTTTGGACCTCGGAAATAAATTGAGAACTGTCTAGTGGGCATTCCTAGTATTATAATTATGGATTTGACTGTTTATTAGGAAGAGGTTATTGAATTTGGAAGGGAGTGTAGAGTTCTTGAGTGAAAACAGAAAAAACCTAATTGAAACCATACCTGTTGTTTGACTTATTTTACATTGGTATGCCTGTCGTGGGTACGGACTGTCGGGCGGGCGTACGGTCACGTGATCACCAAATTTTCTCGGATAGGTAGTTTTCCACATTTTCTTAGTCATGGTGTTCCGCTGAGCGCGCTTCGCGCGCGAGAACTCCGCTATAAACAAGCCTTTAAACCTTTTTCAATGGGTACTCTCCTCGTTATTTTTGGAATGACCAAGGCGATGTAAATTTTGCTAAGGTGATACGTGCTGTCCACTAATCGATATTTACACACTGTATGTTAATTGATTTGTTTTGAGAGTTAGGGCCCGCTTATATGTGGAGAAACGTTGTCCCGGAAAGAAAGGTCACTCTCCCAGCCGAGTCGACATATGCGATCGTTTTATAGAAAAAAGTTGCCCGAGTTAACAGCGCTCGCGCATGCTCCGATTGTCTAAAACAGCGCCATTTACACTTTGCCACTTTACTGCAAGCATTCACAGGTAGTATAAGAAGGACACTTGTGTTAGAATCTCATTACTTTGTTGGGTAATACCAGCCTCAGACTTTAGCTGTTTCTAAGACACTAAGGTCGCGTCAAAACAAGATCCGTTTCGGGCAGCATTCCCCGCAACCCTAGCAAATGGCAGTATGGGCTATGTCTAGTCATAGTTAGTAGAAGACTAGTACACCATCCATACTGTGTAGCTTTATGATAGTATGAACAACAACGGCCTGGAATTGGAACAGTTCGTTCACATCTGTTGAACATCATTCCAGAGCGCTTAGCCAAGAGGGTCCCAATATTTACTTCCTACATATTCACCTCCACCACGCTCCTAAAACCTGTTCACACTGCACCAAAATGTAACACAAAACCTATCTAATACGTGATGCTCCACGTTTTTTAGATCGGCGCCGCACAGCTTCGCTCCAGTACAAAAATTGCACCGAAATCACCGTTCTTTCATTCTGGTTTCAGTGCCAGCACAGAGCTATCCACTATAGAGTGTGCAAAACTATAGAATCATGAATAAATGCGGCTCATTTTAAGATTCTTTATTTAAGAATTGATTGTTAAATCCGACAAATTTATGCATGGCTTTGTTACATTTCTCATTGTTTTGCTTCGTTCTTTATTGTTATGCTTTTGTAGAGTATTGTAATGTGACGACAATACAATACAATGCAATGCATACATTTGCCGGAGTATTGAACAACCCTCACTATCTGTCTCTGCCATTTTTAAAACTATTGTGTGTCTGGATTCTGGACTCTGAGCACAACTGGAACAGATGTGCACGGGATCATTCCTACTTCAGTGATCACCATGGATACAAAATGAGGTGGAGTAACGTCATAAACTAAGTTCAATAAATGTAGTGAATTGACGTCTCTCCATTGAGATAGAACATCTGCGCTTTCTCTGGCCAGCGGTACTAGATCGTCTGGATCACCTACAATAACATTGATAATTAACAACTACACATGGAAAGAGTTACTTTGCATATTCTACAAAAATATATATATGTAGGTTCATTTTGCTTGACTGTTTAGAAAATATATGAAGAACCCATGTTTAAATAAAAGTTTCTTCATCAAAGCGAGGCCAAGGCGAGGTTCTTAATGTGTGACTGTGAATAAAAAGTTTTCCTAAAAAAGTAAGGATAAGCACCAGGCCCGCGTTGTTCAAATGCTGGATAGCACTATCAAGTGGATAAGGATTAGGAAAACCAATTGCGCTATCCAGTGGATAGAGATTTATTCGGCAGTTAGCACTATCCACCTTTTGAACAACTGGGACCAGAACTCGTTTTGAAAAAGCAGATTGAGGTGGTTTGAGAATAGTAGTAGATGTTAATATGAAGTTGAGTGGCAAGAAGCAAGTTTGGCAAAATACAGATGGTTTAATTCACTAATTAACTATTTTCGTCCATTTTTCTCTCCATGTTCATGTCCATGTTCTATTCCACAAATATTTACCTTTTTTATAAAAGAAATATCTGTTTTAAGGGCAACTTACTCAGTTCATTGGAAACAAATGAATCTGTCTGTACTCTGTCACAGAACTTGTACGTTTCACAACAAACAAGCACTGGTACGTTAAATGCCTGCGCCATCATAGCAACCATAGAGGAACCCACACGTGACTTGACATAGCCATTGGCAAGCAAGGCATGGGCACCAAGGAAAACTTTAGATACCTGTAGAAGGGAGCATTGGTGCACATGTCAAGTCACAAGTCAATAGGGACCTTTAGACTACAAGTGAAAGATTGAGTACGAGTATGAATCTCAAAACCAAATTAGCTGAGTGTGCTTCATGTGAATACTTGTCACACTAATCTTATCCCTACATACAGTAGTTGCTTTTTAGCAACAACAGAGGGTTACAGTGTTGGAATGCAGTAGGCTAAATATGCCATTATGTAGTTCCCCTGGATTTCGATTTGACTTCTTAAATTTACAGGTCACTAAAATCAAGGGTTACACAAAACTGAACCTGCTCAAGTTACACCACTTGAATTGGCAATGATTAATACTTTATGTGACTTAATAGAACCAACAACAACACAATTTATTACAAAACAGATATTTAGAATTTGAATAGTACCTACCCGCAAATAGTTAAACCTAGTCGAGGCAGGTAGGTATGATTAAGTTAGGCTTATTACAACTAGGGTTTTTTGCACTATACATATTTACTTACAAGGATTTCAAATAAGCAGCAGTTAAGATTACAATAAATAGTTAATTAAAGTAATGACAACAGCAATGAAAAATGGCAAATAAAAATGGCAAATTCTTGAAGAAATTCATCAGGCTAGTGAAGTTAATAAGTCGATTTAAATGTTCTTAAAACATAGCCAGTCTTAACGTCTTAACGACAGTTTCGATGACTGTCAGTCATCTTTATCAAAACTTGAAAAAAATTAAGTGTCAGAAGCCTTAATAGGATTCTGAAGGTGTTAATTATTGCAATAAACGCGCAAAGTCAGTCTGTAGACGCCCCCTCCACCCCTGGTTTGGGGGTGGAGATCACAGCCCTCCATACATGTGGTTACCCGGATTGGGCGATAAAGAAGGTCAAAGAGCAAATGAACAGAAAGAAAGCTATAGAAAAGATAAATCCAAGAAAGATAAAGCACAAGAAAAATAAAGAGGAGTGGTGACAGTCCCATATGTCCACTTATACACGGAGAAAATACAACGTATATTCACTAAACACAAGGTAGCCCCAATGGTTAAACCTCAAACCACCCTCAGACAGGTTTTAGTTCACCCGAAGGACAAAGTTGAGAAGCAAAAAAAGGCTGGAGTGGTGTACAAAATTCCATGCAGCCAATGCGAAAAGGTATATATTGATGAAACAGGGAGACAGCTGAGAACCAGGATCACAGAACACAGAAAGGAAGCAGAAAAGATCTCTGACAGAAATTTCACAAGATCCACCCGCAGAGTTTCTACCAATGAACACCATAAATCAGCTATAACAGACCACGTCTGTCAGAACAATCATATTATGAATTGGGAAACAAGTGAAATACTTGAGCAGGAAAGCGACAAGTTTAAGCGATGGATCAAGGAAAGCATATGTATTAGATCGAACACTCCTACTATGAATAGGGACGAGGGAGCCTATCAGCTTTCTCCCATATGGACACAAGTGATCTCCACCCCCAAACCAGGTGGGGAAGGGGTGTCTACAGAGTGACTTTGCGCGTTTATCACAATAATCAACACCTCCAGAAGCCTATTTAAGGCTTCTGACACTTATAATGTTTTTGAAGTTTTGATAAAGATGACTGACAGTCATCAAAACTGTAAGCATATTAAGATGTTAAGACTGGCTATGTTTTAAGAACATTTAAATCAACTTAAAAATAGCAAATTATAAAACAAAATTAATACACAGAGGAAAGAGAGAAAGAAAGAGATTTCACTATACTGGTCATAGTTACAGGATTGCTACAGTTTAACAAGTTTTTAATTATTTCAAGAATTGAAGATGGTTGTAAGGTACAAATTCTCTTGTTGAAAAATATTAATATGTGTTTCATGTATTTGTTTCTTGAATAAGTTTCTACTGGCAGACATTTTAATATTTTCAGGTAAAGCATTCCATAGCTGCACTCCAAATCAGGAAAATGAATTCTTTAGTTGTTCAAGACGAGAAGACATGACATAAAATTTGTTGGTAGTTGCTGTTCTAATTTAGGCTCACTAAATCATTTTCTTTATCTTTCAGTTGCAACCTTCAAACATTATTACACTTGAACACCATGGCTAACTGAACCTCTCCTCTTCTTCTGTACATACATTCCCTTGCATATCATTACATACCTCTTTAATGACATACGACAAGGCACTTATTAAGACATATGAACATCTGATCCCATGTTTCACCAGTCTTCTTAGGCATTCCCGACCTAGAAAAAGGAAAAATAGCTTGTTAATGTTGTCTGTTTTGCTTGTCCTAAAAAAAAAAGGTCATACTGTCAAGTCAAATCCAAATGAGAAGTTAACTACTTCATACAAAACTTAAGAGCAATAGTAAGGAAGAGAAAATATCTGAATGAGTGGGGAAAAAACGGTAAATTAGAAAAATAACATTTAAAAAATGCGAAACTGAACTTAACAAATAAAATACAAAAAGTGTGCTGCACTATTTCTTTTCACAGTGATAAGTTTACTACATACAATATATACAATATTTTAACCTTACCTTCAAACTTTGGTCTTGAGTCAACAACAACTACTCTGAAGTTTTTTCCAGCACTGTGAGCGTCTTTTAAAACTTTTAACACTAACGAAGAACTTAAGGCCAAAAGATAACAAGTTAGCAGTGAACCAAATAATATGTGAAGCTTACCCTGAAAACGAACACTTGTAGATGATTTAGTACAGAGTTAACTAGACTCACCAGGCATAAGTTAGTATAACATCCCCATCATTAATCTTGGTTCTTGCATATGTCTCAGAGATAGCAACTCCAGCTAAAATGATTCTTTCCTGGATAAATTTATCGATGCTCTTGATGAGATTGCCCTTTGCCTGAAAATAATTGTTATAAAACAATTATCTTTCTCAAATCCTTAGTATTAAATGGTATATATAAACATGAAATCAAAGGACAATGCTGCAAACATTACTTTTAAGTAATCGCTGCTTACAAGGTGACAGTTCACAATTACATCATCAACAAAAAGATATGCAAAGCAGGTTAACAGCAGGTTGCTGTGTACAATGTGTTATGTTACCCATGGTTCCTCAGTCAGTGATCTTATGTTGTGTAAAGGTTTCTGCAGAATACCTGTTCTTCTGGCATGTCAGGAGGTGAATGGGTAATCTGAAGCTTGAGATATTTGATGGCATTACCCATACTAACAGACAGAGGACGACACTGTGTCAAGAAACTGCAAAATACAGTGTCACAACAATATCAACAACAATGACAAAAAGAGCATGACATTGTAAATGTATATAATTATACAACATTTTTTATCGGGGAGGTCTAGTTTGGAAATGGTTCCTTAAATGAGCAATGTTTTGTTACAAATTACACCATCAGATTATAATAGAATGCAACTGCAACGTTGTCAAAAATCGGTATTACCAGTATTATTTATTGTGCAAGCCACAATAATTTATGAAATATTCAATACCTTATATTTGGCTTAATCTTAGCATCCAAATCCCTGCACAGCTCCTTTTGAGTTGGAGTGACATAATCGGCTATTAACTGTGGAGAGAAGTGAATTTTACAGCCCCTGAAATGATTCCAACCCCCAAATGATCCCTTAATAATACATCCTTCTAAAATTCAACACCACTTTAGTAGGTTTTCCACCTCTCTATTAACTACATAAAGTGTACATCATAGAGTCATTCCCCCTCCCCTGGAGGCAATCATTATGGTAGTGTTTTAGAAATATTACAAACACTAAGTGGACTCGGGTTTCTTTTTTACACTTGTCCAATATATTAGGAAAGTAACATTTTATGCTTTGATTCAGTGATGTCCATGTATTATGTTAAAACTGACCGGTACATCACTAGTAACAAATTTTACGTACCACACTCTATTTCAACTAGTTAGAAAAACATTTAACTTACTGGTTATATCACGTCATCAACTGATGTGATACAACTCACTTTGACTCTAAAGATGACTACCACACAGGTTGTCGAAACGTCAGTCATTGACAACAACAACAGTCCTATTCACGACTACGTTCACCTGGATGATCAAACTCAAACTACTTTTGTTGTATTAATGTTGTGCATTTTGCTGAATCCACAGTCCTAGGATACCATTCCATTCCAAAAAGTAATTGGGGATCACTTGGGGACCAATTTAGGGATCATTTTAGGGTTGGGGATCATTTCAGGGGCTGTACAGAACTTTGCAAAAGGTTACAAATAAATTTTAAGTCTTCTTGCTAAAAGCAGAGTATACCACTAAACCTGAACTGATTATTTTTAAGGCACTATGTTACCTGTTGCCATGATGCAACCGTTAAAGGTCAAAATATTCAACTTCTTATAGGAGAAGTAGCCTGTGTAGAGCCACTGCCCCCTAATCTCAGAAAAAATCAGAGAAGGCTAAGGAGAAGACAACATTATTTTTTTGTACAGTAGGTTAAAAGGCTGTGTCAGACAAAATGGAACAGCTACTGAGCTGTTCTGCAAATTAGGTTTGGGATTCTTGGACCACAAACAGTAAGAAATAATCAATACAGACATCAGTCTTGCAGTCTACTGTTAATAGGTTTATCAATGCACATCTGCTTGTCTCATTTAATTATTTTATAAAATTCACACAAAGTGACACCCAACCTTTTTGAAGGCCAGCAAAAGAGCCACACATCTTGCATTTGACCCACAAATGATGCCTTTGGCATACTGCACTCCTAGAGTGATTATAGCTGGATGGATGTTACTGGCACTACCCAAACTTCAATCAAACAAGAAATGAACAAATCAAATTAAATTTCAATACGTTTCAGGTATCACTTAGACATCTGTCATACAATGATGATAATGATGATGCCTTTATTAAAGTGTCAAAACTGTAATAGCGGTGTATAACCACTAAGTGGGGACACTAAAATAAGCTAAAAAAGAATAAATCAATTAATTAATTAATTAATAATACATTATTATTAAGAAAAACTATGTACAGTATAAGCAAATAAGACATTTGGGAGAACTAGATACAATATGTACAAATGTATCCATTATCTTATAAAAAATAAGGAATAAAAAGAGAGCAGTTAGAGCAGTTATTGTCATCTAATAGCATACTAAGATCCACTTTTCTGATGTTATACTTGAAGGAGGACAATGTGGACGCTTTTTTCACGTTACTAGGAACAGAGCTCCATACCTTTGGGCCCATATACCTGACCAAGTCCTTTCCAAAGGAGACTGTGTTGACTCTGGGTATAGTGAAGTCATGATTGTGCAGTTTATACTTAATTGCAGGCTATTCAAAGACACTGCCAATGTATTTTGGGTACATGTTATTTTTAACTTTATACATTAGAACAGCTATGTCCTGTATTCGCCGGTTGTGCAGAGTAGATAGCCCGGCCATAGATAGTAATTGACCATAGGACGAATGTTTATCACAATATATAGCCCTACGTGCTCTTTCCTGGATATGCTGTAGTCATCTAGAATCGCTAGCACGGCAAAAATGCCATATAAGATGACAGTAGGTTAAATATGGGAGAACAGCTGCCTTATATAACTATAACTTAGTTTGTGTCGGTATAAAGTAACTAAGCCTCATGAGAACGCATATCTCTTCTAAGAGATATTACTTATATGTTCATCAAAACAAAGATTGTTATCAATACAGGCAACTAATAGCTTGAGACATTCAGTGGATCTGACTTTATGATTAATTTAAGGTAGAGGTTTCTCAGCCCAAGTTAACCTATACCCACTTCTCTACAGTCAGGTGAAAGTGAAGTCCAAGTTCAACCCAAAAAGGGACAAGCGCAAGATCTGGGCACAAAATTAGGCCAGTGTAAACACAACTGAGTTTTTTCAGATGATGACATTCTACTTGGCATTTTTTATGAGCAAGATCCACCAGTGCCCAGGCCTAATAAACAACTCTACAGTGTACAAGCTACAAGCCACTCTCCATTGGGCAATTCTGTGTCTTACAACAACTACTTTTCCTTGCTTAAGCTATGCTAGCAGGCACCTTTTTCATACCCTGAATATTGCACAGAGATCAGTCATCATTGTTCTTTGTAACATCAAATTCAACAAGACAGTTAGTTCAAATTAAATTATCATAGCACGCTATAAAAGCTCAAACCAGTACGCATCAAATTCTATGCAAGAATTTTTTTTACCCTTTTTAAAACTCCTTGTATTGATACTGAGAGAGAGCTGTAAAAAGTCTTTAAAGGTAAGATAAAAATGGTTTTACAAGTTATGAGACAGAAAACGTCTTCAGAAAAATGTTTCATTGAACAAAACTGAAGACTTCGCAAAGAATGAATTGCACGTGCCATAGGGCACGTGGGAGAAAGCAGTTACATCATGTTTGCTGACAATTGCGCCAATCAAAAATCTTGCCTTTGACTTTGTCAACAGGAGATCTGGGTACGAGATTAACAGACTTGTCTTTAAGAAACTAAAAGCTAAGTTATTACTGTCATCAGCAACTCACTTTTATATCTTACCTTATTCCTTGTGTTAAGGACAAATCCTTTTCATATTGATGAAGATGGGAAAACAAACCAACTTTCTTTTGAGTTGTAGTGCGTTGGGGAACCTACAGGCAAAACAAAAGTGTGAACAAAATTTTTAATGCCTTTAGTTTTATCAACTTAGTTGATAAAGTAGATAATCACCGACAATGACTCGATATATCTCAAGTTTGATGATCTGCTCTAGTACAATTTAGGATATAAGCAAGTGATATCAATGGCTGGTAAAAGTATTATTATAGCCTGTGAATACACATAAAAACTATCATCCCTTCTTGCAGCTGGAGGTGTTTTACACTTGAGAGAAATCTGAGTTTTGGTCTCAAAATTCTATACTAATGGCATTCAGATTTAGTAGTAGCAGAAGTTATGGTGTACATAATTATTTTGATCTTGTGTTTGATTCTCCTTGATCATTATCATAAAACTTTGGAGTCTTGCTGCCAATTTGGTGCAGGCTTAACTGAACTACGTCCTGAAAAGCAAATATCCAGTGAGAGGAAATCAGTTTTCCTTGTTAGACTTTGTACACTCTAGACTCAGCACATTGTACTTTTGATCTTTGTTATCTTATTAATTTTCATCTGTCATTTGTAAATAATAGCTATTTTTATTTCTGTATGTATACTTGGCAAAGGCTGCCCGTCGCGCCAAGGTAAATAAAAAAAATGATCAAATAAATAGAATCACATAATATAATTAAATAAAGAAAAGCTGAAATAGTACTTTGATCATAATCCATCAACAAATGACACCACCACTTCTAAATAGGTTTACATTATCAGTGTGGACAGTATTTTATGGGCCAAAATCCAGGCATCTCTCTCATGAGATGTTCATGGCCACAAAGACTGATCAGAGGGAATTAGGCTTGCTCAAAATTGTCAGGCCCATGCATGGCCAACAATTTTATGGAAAAGACACCAGCTCCAATTAACTTATTGAAGTTGATATAATCTAACATCCCACTAGACTTGACCACCTGGGACCAGTATTTTATTGGACTCTGTATGCAAGATTTTAAACAAAAACAGGTTCTTAACAATTTCGAGTCTCTGTAATGGGATGACTACGCAAATTTCAGCGATGCTAAGAACTTTGTTCATGATTAAGCCCATGCCATAAAGAAACCTCTCTTCACAGGGTATTCCATTATATGCAAACCACAGTGTAACATGATTACTGTTGACAATGTCTTATCTTTATCGTTCTCACCTGTTGCCTTGCTAATTTCTTAGCAACCTTCTTTTGAACTTTCTCATCATCCGCTTGAAGATCATGTGCAACTTGAACACGATGGCCTACATAAAATAAAGGCAAAATTCAACGTTAAAGTTGAGCTCAGAGTTTGATTGGGCACTAAAGGTGAAAAGTGAATGTGACAAGGTGTTTTGACGCCAAAACTGGTGGGATCAAGTGGTATCTCAATTGCATAGCCAATGACATCATCAAGATTTAATAAATGATGATTCAATTAACAGCATAGCAAAAAAAAATTTAAGCACCAGCTTTCGATTCCATTGCAAATCTTTATCAAATGATGGATTTGGGCATTTTGTCACCTGATTTATATTGGGGATCTCAAGACAAATTGTCCTGATAGATCACAGGGAGTTTGTAACCAGCATCCCTATTCAATGTTGGAGCCCGGCAAAAAAAGTTCACGAAAGTTTTCAAAAAACAAGGAGTTGGCCCATTCCACAAGCCTGTCAACACCATCAGGCAGCATTGGATGGGGTATGAAATTCAGTGCGAGGGCTGTGACGACTTCTGCATTGGTGAGAGAGCTAGACCTCTTAGAGTGAGATTCATGGAACATGTTGCGATAACAAGAGCATCAACAATGGCAGTAGGAGATCATCCAAAGTGGTAAGGCCACACCTTGGATATGTCTTCCTCTTTGATCCTCATGACAGAAGTGGACGCGTTCAAGAGAAGAGTTAGTGAGGCCACCAAAATATTTTATCAGGATCCAACATTGAAGGGGATGCTAGTTATGAGCTCCCCGCAATCTATCAGGACGTTCTGTCACGTGATTAATGGTATCAATCATATGACAAAACACCCATCAATGATAAAGATTCTGCAAAGGAATTGAAAGATTGTGTTTAGAAAGTTTTTTTCCTATCCTGTAAATTGAATTGTTGTCTATTATATCATTATGAAAGGATTAAGTAACTCTTTCTTCTCTAATATCATCAAGATTAGTCAGGTGGCCAACTAGTGCACCACAATTCACCACCACACTTCTTCCATGTTGACAAACTAACCGTGGAACCATACCTTCACTGCTGGATTTGTGCTTAATTCCTGCATCAGCCTGCTTCTGAGCTTTTGCAGCTCGTTGTGCTTCCTTTTTTGACACAAAAAATAAGCTCTAATAAATACATATTACTTGATTTTCAGTCCTACAGTATATATGTTATGGTCTCTGATTTCAGGCTCAACTTTGATTTCACCTAGGTCGACAAATGTTAAATGAAAATGAATGTTTACAGTGTACTCCAGGAGTTTAGATCATGTTATATTGTGCATTAATTATAAATATACACTTTTTTATGCAACCTACACTATTAGAATGTGCCATGTTTTTGTTTCAGAGGATCAAGGGAGGAGTCATTACAAGAGTGAATACAGTGGAAACTCTATTCAGTAGGGGACACCCTCAGGACCAAGGCAAGTGTCCCCTGAATGAAGTTTGGGCAGTGGTTTGTTAACCAACAAATATTTTTCTTTAATTATTCTGACTCAGAATCTGCTGCAGTGATTATTTGAAACAGCTAGATAATGTATAAAAAAAACCATGATTAACTTGTTTCTACGATATTGTGGGGGCAATCTGCACCAATTTGAAATACTGTTTGTGATTGGCTGTGAAGACAATAGGGATTGTGACATAACAATGCCCCTTTCTCTAAAAACAATGGAACTGCAGATTAAAAGGGACCAAAAAAAAAGAGGTATAGAACGGTGCAGGTCAACTGATGCTGCTTGTTGAATTCCCACAAGTGTAGTACATTGATGTAAGTGAAATAGTTTGTGTTTTGAAAGCTGTTAGCATTGTGACTAGTGAAGACTTAAACTTATAAATCTATAATTTTTGTGGTCAGTCACTTTTTGAGTCATAAAGTGTCTCCTGAATGGAGGTTAAACTCGGGTTTCAGGACCAAGAAAAAGTGTCCCTTTTTCCTGAATAGAGGTGACCTTTTAATAGACGTAACAAACATTATGTGAACATTTTTCCAGGACCAAATTTTGTCTCCGGAATGGAGGTGCCATCCCTTGTACAGTAGTGTCCAAAAGGAGAGGTTCCACTGTATATCACAAAAACAAGTTAATAATGTGCTGGAGTAATAACCTGAACTTAGAACCTGAGCATAACAAAGATGCCCCCTTCAAGTGCCTGTTCTGGGTCATTTTGGCGCACTTCAAAATTGTGTTTCAAAAAAAAAAAAGAAACAAGGAAACATAATTTTTCCTCGTGCAAAATCAGAAGGTAGATTTTATAGATCCATGTGCTTAATTGAGAGCCCCTCTCTTGACGTATGTGAATGCAAAGTGGTCTCAAAACAAAGAAGGCTTTCAGCATTTTTTGGGCAACAACACAAAGAAGAAACTGCAGAAACGTCCACGGCATCGAAGTTGCCAAAATGAAACTTTCAACAGAGCTGGCTAGAGAAGTACAAATGGCTGAAGTTTTATCAACCACAGGGTATACTCTGCTTGCTTTGCCAAAAATCAAAGAAACAAAACCCTTTTACCGTTGGCTGCGCAAACTACAGGACTTCAACACTAGTTCGTGACCGCCCCAAAAAACAAAATTTCTCTCTAAAAATTATTGACTGGAACACATTGCACCCCTAGCTGGAAATCCTAAATCAACACTGTGTAGAGCTTATAATTTTAAAAAGAATTTGCAAACCTGTTTAACTCTCCTTTCAGCTTTGAGCTCTGCTTTGGTTTTTTGTGGCAGTTCACCTGTGGCATCAGCCCCACCAACAGCCAGTGGCCTGTCATCTTTTTTCCCATCAATTGGTGGCTCAGCCTTTTGTTGAGGTAATGTTGATTGTGGCTTCTGCTTCTGTTTTTTGTTACTTTGTTTATGTTTGGATCCCTTACCTTTTTCGGGTTGGGCCTATTAATAGGGAAGAAAAAACAAATGCAACAAAAACAATGCTTACATAGAACATTTCCAAAGAAAATGCGGAAATTCATGTTAGAGCTGAAACAATGTTATTTTGACATTATCGTGACATGACATTAATTCCAATCACGAACAAGTGATTTTAGGGTATAGTTCAGTTTATGTATTACAAGAATCACCAAAAGGTGATTATAACTGGGCTGCCAAGGTGTGATTTTTTCTGAGAAGAGGGGGTGGCTGTACACACTCAGGCCACCACATCACTTTGTCGCCGAATCTCATGTGAGAGTGAAACATAATTTCATTTGAACATTGTACCCTTTTGGAAGCATAGTACGCTAACTTCAAACACATCTTCATTTAATGGCTGCCTTTGCTTAACATGCTCGTTAATAAGTTAATAATTGATAATGTTTATCACCATGACAATGAAAATCCCCAGGGGATACTCCATTATATTTGCCTTATAGGAATATTATTGATCTGAAATCCCGGGGGTGGCTGGGGGGAGGAGGGTACTCCCTTACATTTGCCTTATAGTTATTGATCTGAAATAAGGTCTAGGGTCAGGATTTGGAGCGTGGAATGCACAACCCCACCACAAATTACCAGGAATACACCCCCAGAAAGAAGATCAAAGGTATTTTATAAACTGGGCCAGCCTTTGGCCAACCCAGTTAATTAGCCTCCCACAGAAATGTTCTCATCTTAGGGCTTTTTCACATGACAAAGCCCTAAGAATGTTCGGTTGAGAGGTAAATGAGTAATCCATGTGTGAAAATGGATTGACAATGATGACCAAGCAGTTAAGCGGCAGAGGGCTGGGACCATCTTTCCCCCACTTCACCCCCCGCCACTTTTCCGATTAAATGAAGGCTTACTAAGGAGAGAGTCTCGTTAGTCAGCCCCTCTCCTTGTTCCCTACTTAAATCAAGCTGCCCAAAAAAATACTTGCCACAATTTTCCTGGGGGTATCCAATAGATGAAAGGATAATTGATGACAATCAATATCAATCAATACCAATCGATATCAATTAATCGATTGCTACTGATAATCGATGACCCATCGATGGCAAAGATGCTTGTGGTAATATTGATTGGTATTGATTTTCAATAACAATCGATAGATAAATTGGTATTGATTGGTAATGATCGGTTGCAGATTGACTGAATCAGCGCATAAATTTCATATCTTTGTATGCAGTAATTGTAAACACATTTCATTTTAATGCTTTGAACGTTAACAGGAAAATGATACTCTCTTCTTTCTCTTCAATGCCCAATGCCCAATGCCCAATGCCCAATGTAAAGACAATGATGGGCAAGTGGGCAATTCGAGTATACGTGCAACAGGGTATATTCTTTGTGTTGAGAAGATTGTGGGTCACAAAGGTTTTACCAATATGCCACATCCACAATTCCCATAATGCACCTTATTTGCCCCCCAAAATTTTGCATAACCTTTGTTTTCCATTTCTCCTGGGTATTACAGCTGTTCCAAGAGAAATTGAAAACAATGCTCATGTAAAATTTGGGGGGCAAATAAGGTACATTATGGGGAATGTGGAAGTGGCGTATTTCGTCCCCAGGGCTTCCTAAAAATGGCGGATGGTCAGACAGGTAGTGTGCGTGACATTGTTCAAAGGTTGCTGTGCCAATCGATAGCAATCGATGAACACTTTCTGTGTGGTTATTGACTGATCATCAATTGACCGATACCGATTAACTAATTTTATCGATTGATATTAATTAATCAATCGGTTTTCCGATCATCGATTTCCATCAATTGGATACCCCGAGAATTTTCCTATCTAAAAAATCCCGAAAACAACAATTTCAAACCCTAAAAAATCCTTTAATCATCCCTGTCACTTGAAATCCGAGGGCGCTTTCCATTTAGTCAAAATTTTCGGTTCGGCGGTAAATGGAACACGTTTCGTCGGTTCGTCCCACTGGGTCCACCGGAAAATTCCCAGAAAAAGTGGAAAATCTTAAAAGGTAGGCCCGTTTTCCCCGCTGGGTCGAGCCACCGACAATAACTTTTTCAGTGGTATTAGCTAAGATTATTTATATAAGTCATATAAAACTTCCACTTACACTTCGTCCACCGGAGACTTTCGCCTTTTCGATTTCTTGGTTTTCATCCCTCTCCTCTAAATCAGAAGAAGAAATATTGTGAGATAAAAAAATAAACAACTGCATAACATCGAACCACCAGATTTCTGAAAAAAGAAGAAAATACCTCGTTTCCCTTTCATCGAGTTCGAACTCAAAGACTCCGCCATTTTGTGTTGGTAGGTCCTTCATATATGATTCCTATAGTGTACCGATCCGCTGACCAGCGAAAAGATGTCAATTTTGCCTCGTCCAGTCCCCTCCGCCGTGTTTTCTTCGCAGAGGGCACCACAGGGCAACAAGTATCACAACAGCCTAATGAAAGCCATATTACAAGGATTGGTATGGAAATTTATATTACGATCGATAAAATGGTTAAAATGTACAAAAACAGCTATTAAAGTATACATAACTCATAAAAAGTTGTGTCTTTGTTGTTTTCTTACTGTTTCCTGCCCTATAAACGCCATTTTAGCAAGTTTTAATGTTTTGGTTTCTCAACTATTAAGAAAAATACATCCTTGTCATTGGCTTTCAGTGGGCTGTTGTGATTCTGGGCCCCCTGTGAGGGCACCAGACCAAAGCAACCTTTTGGAAATGAGTGAGTCGCTAGGGGAAGACAACAAGACAGAAGATAACCAGGTGTTATTTTTTCTCGCCAGTTTGCGACTCAAATGCTTTTCGGGGAAATCCCTCGGACCAAGGTAAGTGGCGTAGATGGCATATGTATACTCAGGCCCAAAACAGCGAACTGTTGAGGATATCCTTCAGAGAAACCGAACTTAGTGGATTTGCTGTTATATTTTAATCTCGGATACATAGAATGACTAGAATGCGTCATGGAAAATGCGCTCGTAAGGTTTTTTATTGTGTATAGCGAAAAATTCTTTGTCATAAAAGTAGAAAATGATACACGTCCAATCAGCTTCCTGCACGGCTTTTTGCTTGGCACGTGAAAAATTTAACCAATAAGAATTCAGAGTGGAATCACCTGGCCAATCAGAGCTTAGAACTAAAAGGGCTTCCAAAGCGCCCATTTTGTTAAAAAAAATCACTTCAACTTGTAACATTTCTTTTTTCATGTAAACTTAGATAAAACTTTGTCGACATTTTTAGAGGAGGAAGCAACCAGAAAAACACTCAGAGGAAAACAAAAAAAGTTGTTTCTTTGCTTGAATTAGACTACGAGCAGTCTCTCTTTTTTCTTGGTCCGTCGAGCAAAACGTGCGAGACACGCAAATGACCACACGCGCACCTAAAGGCCGCCCTCCTTTCTCGCCGCTCGACGCTTGCGCTCTCGTGCACTCCCCTCACTAAATCTGAAGAAAAGACTGCTCGCAGTCTACACATGCACTGTCTGGTTGGTTTTATCCCATTTTTTTGGCCTGTTTAACTGAAGTTCACTTGTTTAGATATTGCTTGATATGTCTCTCCCCATGCACAAGTTAGGTGTGGAGATTTCAATACCCAATACAAACTATGACATCACAAGGGGTACAAGGGAGGTGTTGCAAGCTGTTGAGTCCTGATTGTGTTGAGAGAGAGTTGACTGTATTTGCTTCATCTTAGTACATCAAAATAGTCTTGCAATGTTACTGTACATGAAAAATTTCTTTATTCATTACTATTCAACAACTGTAATTAAAAACAAAATGTACGCCATTTATGTGTATATGTAATGTCATGTTATATGTTATTTCGCTATAATTAATTATCTTGTTGATTAGAGGAGTGACTTCTCAAGTGTTTGGCCAAGTAGCAAGACTGTCTAAAGCACTTTTTACAGTGATGGCATTGAAAAGGTCTCTCTCCAGTATGTGTTCTGACATGAATCTTAAGGTGGCTTGACTGGCCAAACTTCTTTGAACAGTGGGGGCACTGAAAAGGTTTCTCACCAGTATGGGTCCGTATATGGGTGCTCAGAGCTGATGAGTGAGAAAACCCCTTTGTGCAAAAGCTACATTGAAATGGCTTTTCTCCATTGTGAATTCGCAGATGCAAAGTCAGGTGGCTTGACTGTCCAAACGTCTTAGGGCACTTGGGACACTTGTAGGGTTTCTCACCAGTGTGAACACGCATATGGGTGGTCAAATGACTTGACTGGTTAAAGGATTTGTGACAGTGTGAACACAAGAAGGGCCTCTCTCCGGTATGAATTCTCAGGTGTGTGGTGAGTGAAGTGGAAGAGGAATACTCCTTAGAACATATAGGGCACTTCAATGGATCAATCTCAGGATGACTACGAAGGTGTGAGGCAATATTATTTGGGCAGGAAAACTGTTTGTGGCACTGTGGACACTCTAGCTTGTGTTGCCGGACAGTAAGTTCACTGGACACACTGTTTGCTATTTCTGTATGGTTAGAATCGGAACCTAGGGCAGCAAAGAAGACATAAAGCTGTCAAAAATGATGAGGAGAAATGTTTTGTTCGTTTAATAAAAGGGTTGTACATACTTACATTAAACTCCAATTATCAAATTTAACATTATTTTGCAATGATTAACTATTTTCAAAATATTTACTTAAATACAGTTAAACCTTCATGCACAATTACATGTAGCACCTCTCTTCAATGAGCTCCATCTATTCAAAGTACTAGATTTTTTCAAACAGAGGGACTTCCATTGTTTGGTTCATTGAGGCACTTTCCTCATTATGGTTGTTTCTCCAGTTTCAATGGTTTTTTATTTGCTTTCATGGTATCCTTAAGTTGTTTTGGGCTTTGATTATGCCCTTGTGATTTGTCTGACTTCTTTGTTTAATGTACACCATGTAATATACTAAACTCCCTTACAAAATTTACAGCTTCAACCTCATATTAATTTTCTTGAGCACACACTCTTACCCTGACAAGTAAAAGGTACAAAAAAATACTTCAATCTTAACCCTGATTAAGTACCTGCTGGCTCCTTTGTAGTGGGTGGAAAATTGTTCCCTTCACCAATATCCAGAACATAAGCATTGCTCTAATGAGAATTTAAAATTATTATGTATGTAACAAAATAATATACTTATATTATAAAATATGATACAAGATTTCATAAACCCAGTATAGATAACTTGTACAAACATAATTGAAGCTGCGACCGTAGTTCTGCATCAAATTGGTTTGTCCGCTGCAGATACTACAATACATTATTTTTTATTTGTAGTAAAGTGCATAGAGAGGGACTGGTGACGACTGTGACTACTCCGCTGAGAAAGTCACCATCCCACCCCCTCCCCCCAATCCAAAATACATGCATACAATTTCACCCAGCACTCCTTTGCATCCAAAAAATTCATGTCAAATGCAATATCCATTAATTTACACATTAAGAGTACAATCATACTGCAGTATTGAAACTATTGGTGATGCAAAATCATTATTGCCAATCATCATAAAATGTTGTACAATTACTCACAACAATGGGTTATGGAGGAGATTAAAAGCATCAATAGCGGTCGGCAACAAAATGTACTAAATTTGCACTTACCTGTACAAATGTAGGTACCTCTAGCTGTTTGTCAGTCTGTTTGTGTGCTATCAAATCCATCTCCTCTCTTTGAGCCATGCATTCAAGCTGTGAACAGCTCATAGTGTCTTCTCTTTTACAATATGAGACCTCACACTTGCTCTCCACACTGGGCTTTTGCACTTGTTGTGTTTCTTGGGAAATTGGCACTTGTGGGACGGACGTAATCTTCTCTTTAGAAAGCTCCTCTTGAGTGCAGGGCTCTTTTCCATTTTTAAGCTGCTTTGAATGAACTTCCTGCTCAGCTTTCTGTCAAACAAAAACAAACTTAACTAGTACTCCCACAGGCAGCCCAGACTCTATGGGAGTTTGTGGTACTTAAATTTTAAAACAGAATGTATGACAATGGACAAAATATGTTCTTACTTCTACTTTTGGAAAAGATTGGAAATAAAAAATGACTTGCCTTGCGTTTATGTTTATGTTTATGCAAATCCAAAGCTGTATTGGTGAGTGTTCGATTTTGAGCTGTATTCTTATACGATAAGAAATCTAAGAGTTACCAAAACTGCTTTCAAATGGCTCCAGAAGTGAACAGACAGTAATTTATTAAGACACAACACAAAAACAAGATGAGTCACTTATATTTCTGACACATTCTCAAAAAATTCAATTGCCAACCAACTCCCATAGTGTCTAGGCTGCCTGTTAGTTAAGCAATGCATTTGAAAACACACCACAGCATACTGAAGTAATACTGGCCAATAACTGATTGACTGCTACTAGTAAACTGGTGAAAACTGCTCAAAAACTGCTCATTAATTTTTGTTCTACCTGCCATGCCGACCTAAAATGATTACAGCTTGGAGCAATGTCAACACAAGCTAGTTGCTAAGATGGCAAAATAACTTTAAATAAAAAATTCTCCAATAAAAGAAGACAAAAGAATCAGACATTTCAAATGAACTGGTCATCATGATAACTGCAAACAGCTGCCAACATCTCACAATAATAAACATACCTTAGTAAGCTGACTCTGCCACTTACATTCTCCTGTGGCAGGATTAATATAATATAGAATTTTTCCTGTTTTTGTGGTGTGAGGAATCCATTCTTTTTCATCCATGGCAGTTGAATAACAAGTTAATAGTAGAATAAACAATTGTTACAATCCTGCAACAATAAACATGATCTTGTTAATTTCAATTGTAATAACATTGTACATACTACAGTAACAGTAATTCATCTGCCCTCCAAGATGTAGCCTCCCCACAGATGTCCTTTGGGGTTCATTCACCACGCAAAGAAATGAATGCATGATAAAAGAACCCCACGTGACATCTGCGGAGAGGCTATCCAAGATGGTGTTTGAAAATTCTATGATGACAATGAGAACAAAAAATTGTCAATTGATAATTTATTGATTGATTAATAATCATTAATAATTCAGTTTTGTGCAGGTGCCCAGAATATTAAACATTTAAGACACCAAATGCTGCCTTGGTTGGGAATATAAATTTTAGGCTCTAAAAAGAGAAGCTACTGGAAATTCCTAATATGAATAAGAGTAGCTCTCAAAAGTCAAATTTTTCAAAAGAATGATTTAAAACTGTGAAAACCAGGGGCCGGTTGCTCGAAGCCTGGTTAGCACTAACTGTTGGTTAAGAGGTATCAAAATGTATAGTTTTCCATGGTATTTAACGCTGGTTAGCACTAACCATGCTTCGAGCAACCCGGGCCTGTGCGGTAGTCATTTTCAGAGTCTTCTCTTTGACTCTGAAGATGACTACCGCACAGGTTGCCGAAACATCAGTCACTGTCAACAACAACAGTCCTATTCAGGACTACGTTCACCCGGACAATCAAACTCAACCTTTTTTTGAGAATGATTTAAAGTTTCAAAATTTTATTACTTTGGTCCAAGTGAACAAACATCTTCCAAAAATTTTCACTTTTCACTTGTTTGGTAAATGTAGTTTGGAAAAATTGCTTAGCTGGCACCAACTACTGTAAAGGTTAGTGATTAGGGCCGCCAACAGGAAACTGAGAAAATCAAGGTTCCAGTTTGGGCCATAATATCTAAAGGGCAAAGTAAACTTAAAGGATTGCGAAAATACAGTATGAGTCAACCTACATAGACGGATCGTAACTTTCCTTCTTGACATAAATTAATGAACAAGGAGAATCTAGTAATCTACAATTGATCACGTTGTGATTTCGAATAGCAAACCATGTGTAATATCTACTTGTATAATGGCCTGTCAGTACATAAGCTTATAAGCTCGCGGTTATATAAGCTTAAGCTTAATCTCTGCCTTCACCTTCGTTTTCTGGGCAATTTAAGTCGACAGTAACTTTTCAAAGTTTTCAATCAAGTTTATGATCAACGACAATCTACGCTCCACCATTGACCCATGCGGAGCTTATGCACATCTGAATCATACATTAATATTTTCTAAGCTTAGCATTTCTGAGGTCCACATCAGCCTATGGCTGCTTTTCTTATGAATGTATATAGCTTATTTAAAAAGACATTGCACAAAACCTTCTTTAAAGACGATGAACTTGAAGCCAGAATACCCACAACTTCTATGACTTTCGATGAACACGTTTCTTCAATAAAAATGCCCCGAAATCTAGGATTTCTTCTTGCGCCGACTAATTGCTTTTCTTTATGTCAAATATATGTCAGTGATGTCAGTCTGTTGTGTTGTCTATTGTGAGCCCACGTTCATTCTAAGTCAGGCAGCGAAATCTATATACTTTAAGTAGGGTCATTTAAGTGTATCATTATGTAATATTCTAAAGTACAAGCTCTTGCGATTGCGCGATTGAGGCAATGACCAGTTCTCCCAACAAGCCTGTCTAAACAAACAGCATTAAACTCACACATGAGTTTTAACCTCAAAACTAGGGGCCTATTTCTCGAAAGTCCCGGTAGCTTTTCGAACCCGAAAAACTAGTGTTTTATCAGTTGCCGTGTTTGCATTCAAGATCAAAGTTTCAATAATTTTGAAAATGATAGAATGACAGCACAATTGACCGGTTTGTGAGCTACGAACTGTGCTACTATTCAACAGGTTTTGATTTTAAAATTTGCCTTGGGGCCCGAAACTGAGTTACAGACCTTTCGATAAACGGGCCGAGGAGAAAGACCGAGAAAGGCCAAATCCGGAGTTAGGAGGGCATGCTCCCCCGGGAAGTTTTTAATTTTTAGGTGTCCTGAAATGGCTAAGACTATTATCCTTTAACAAAAGTACAAAATGGACTAAATTTTTAGTGATTATAATACCACTATTACTCCTATTATAGCTTTCAACATTTGAAGAGCTGGCGCCTCCTGAATTATCCCGTGTACAGATGGACGCCCACTCCCGGTTTTTTTTTTTTCAGGGGAGGGGGCGTCTGTACACAGGCTACTCTTGACTTGGAAATAAAACACGTCAATGGTAATAAAATAGCTTTCAACTCCATTGATAAGTTACCCCTCGACTAAATAAGTCATTATGGAAAGGAGCAATCCTTTTTAACTTCAAGCCGCCAAACTGAAGGTCCTTCTCCTGGTACAGGACAGTAGGAGAAGAATCTTGCAGATCATGCTCTGCAGAGCTTCCTGTAACTCCTTCATTTTGTTCGAATGTCAGCGAAATATGTCATATTGATCACAACCATTTAGGTTATTTTGATCCAACGAGTCAGAGACCGAATCATCAGTACAATTCCTTTTAAGAAGTGAAATAGACTCCAATTTTTCTCATATTTCGTGGCCTGGCTGGATAAAACGCAGAGGTCACGACTAATTGCTGCACAAGTTGTAAAGATAGTCGTTCTGATACAGGATCGAAACGGACCAATCACAAATTTGGATGCTTCGGCGAGGTCTACCAGCCGAATATGTTTATTCCATCAAAGATTCCTTTTCATTTGAAAACGTCTATTTCTTAATTTTGCTAGAATTTATTTTTTTCATAAAGTTGAGGGACCCGCTTCCCCAGCGCGCGCCCTGAAAAGCAGAATATTTCTAGGTTGAAACTGTGACTCACACAATGATATTTTCAGTCGTAAATCTAACCGTGCTTTGGAACCAAGAGACGCAACTTGTTGGTTTTTAAGTGTGAAAGGATCAAATAAAAATTCTTGGTAATTCCACTCTCTTCGTTGTAAAGGAGGGACAGCTTTTGTCCTTTTTTAGTCAGTCATAGAGCCGTGTATAGTCTGATCACCCTTTCTAACAGCTTTTTAAGGTAGGAAAACTGCTTGTTAAAAAGTTCTCCGACTTTTCAGGGTTCATTGTTTCTACCTGCCGGGGTCACGGTATCTATCGACTCGAGCTGGAAATGTTCACAATCCTTCTAACGCTTCAATAAATTTCCCAAAGAAATAAGTGAAAGGTTACTGCTATTCTTTTTTTACGTCAACTTGGAGACCTTGTTATCCGCAATCATCATTTTAGCGGTTCGACAATGCGCAAAGGCGTAAGTAGAAAGTACTGAGTTTCTACTGATCCGACACACACACCACACTTAGTACCTGGTACCCTACAGGGACCCTCCAGGGATGTCTGTGCGATAACAAAAAATAATAATAATAATAATAATAATAATCTGATAACCGAGTAGTATAAGTACGTGTAACTAATGAGAATAAGACACAGAATAACAAAAACAACACTGAAAGGGTAGAAACGAAGCCAGGTTTCACGGCTGAAGAGGTTCAGCAGGTGCAGGTAGTCTTACATTTGATGCGAGTTACCCTGTGTGGCAGTAACACTTCCAAACACTCTTGATATCGTTTTGCACTATCGACGAGCATTTAAATCAAACTTGTTGTGGCTAATTTAGATCAAGGTAAGTTTTACTTTAGGAAACTCATTATTGGGTTATTTTGTTTTCCACTTGGTTAAAATGTTTTTCGTTTTTTTCCTTATAAACTTTGTTAGCAGGTTCTTTTCACAGCTGTTGCGATAGAATTTACGGCTTACTTCAGTGACTAACACTACAATAAACGGGCCGTCGATAAGTAAACAACATTTTGACGCATTTTTTATGCCTTACTTTGATGTTAATATTCGGGATTCATTTTGTTTTCAAGATTCCTCAGGACGCAATGGCTGGACTGCAGAATCACTGGACTACTTTCACTTTGATTTTTCTATTAACAATGATAATAACAACAGGTAATGTATCCTATCGAAGAAGAAGAAGCGAACTATCAGAGGAAACTACTGAGTGTTTTAAATTCAAAGACAATCGAGAGCAAAACAACTGAACAGTTATTTTTTTCTTTACTTTTGTAAAATCTTAAGTTCAAGTATTGAAGTGAAGATCAATATAGACTACCTACATAACTACAATGTTTTGTCGGTAGTGATAATGGCTTCGCGGTATGTAAAAGAAAAGGAACAACTAAGCCGCCAGGGTAAGTTACTCACACAAAAAACTCTTCGTGAGAAACGTCCAAACCAGGCGTTTTCAATTAGAAATTCAAACTTACGATGCCCGTTGGTATGGACGGTAGGCGTGAGTAACTGTATCGTTCATAGTGTGTCTCAGGAGTCGGAATTGTACCCTCAGGCGCTACTCTTTGATAAACGATACTTTTCCTCGGGCGCCATGAAAGAAGCCAAAGCTGGCACAGGTTGACAGAGCTGTACTCTCTGATGTTGGTATCATTTTTTGTGATTAATATTTATTAATGATAATGTCCGGGACGGGAATTCAGAAACGCTACAGAAGCAACGCATTTGAATCTAAACCTTGCTTTAATTTGTTTTGCAGTTTCATTGGCTGACAAGAAGTTCAAATGTCACAATAAGATCGACATGGTTGTCGTTTTAGACAGTTCAGGGAGTGTAACACAGAAACAATTCAAAATGAGCAAAGATTTCGTGGCTGACCTGGTTAAACACTTTGACATTTCAAAGAGCAAGGCAAATGTAGCAGTAGCTACGTACAGTCAGTACGCTCACACTGGAAGAACTTTTCAGGAACACGCTACTCTGGATTCAGTTCTGGGGGCAATACGTAAACTTAGGTATGAAGGAGCCGCTAGCAGACTGGACTTTGGATTTGGATTGGTTGAGTTTAAACTCTTTGATACGCAGTACGGATCAAGGCCAATTGATTCTGGTACGTGCCTTAGTTGACTGACTATTGGATAAATTTTTTAACGTTATAGGAACACTGATTCATGAAAACGAAAGGTAGGGTAAGAAAAGAAATAGGTAACGCGAAGACAATGAGTAAAGTGCGAGCAAGCCCCGGGAGCAAGCGCGCCTTCGCCTATCCTTCTCTCCTGTTCCACCTCCTTCTGTAGGCTGCTATAACGCGCGCCACATCCCAAGAGCTTCAGTTCCGATTTTCGTTTTTCTTTTTTTACTGTCCTCCTCCATTTAATTCTTGATCTTTCTTTCTTCATTTTCTTTCTAATGCCCAATTAAGTAATTGTCTCGAGATATGGCCAGTCTTTTTCCATTGTCTCGAATCAACTTTGTCACTCGGGGGTCATAATAGGTAGTGCTGAATTTCTACGTAGGATTGGCCAATGAATGCGTAATTAGTATTTGTGTCCGGCCTTGTCTGTCTTGGGCACTAACTGTATTTCATGCACAATGTGTACAATGCGCACTTACCAATGCCAAGTGTGCTCAGAAAGAATTGTGGCTTTTCCTTTATCTCGTTATATATTACAGTTAAAACAGTTTGAATATATACTGACAATGATTTAGTTTTTGCTCTTGTTGTTATGCACAGGTGTAAAGAAAGTTGCCGTGTTTATAACTGACGGATACAGCACTCGCGGTCTGGAATTCACCAGCGATAGTGCAGCTATGCTAAAAAGGAAAGGTGTGGAGTTATTCTCTGTTGGAATTTCTAATCGCATTAATAAAAAAGAACTGGATGTATTGGCCAGTCAACCACGCAAAACACATCAACTCTATATGACAACAGATCTTGGCGGGAACTCTTTCACAAAGGAACAAGTTCAAAACCTTGCAAAAGAGATTTGTAAAAGCAAATAAAAAAAAACTGTTGGACTGTATTGGACCGTTTATTTGGTTATGGCCCATTATAATTAAGTTTTTTGTAGAAACACTATTTCACAGATTTAGCGAAGAGACCGCAACGTCCTGAACGAGAACGCGAAAGCGCGCGGAAAAGACTGAACATGACTTCTAGTGTTCAATTTACCGTCCTGCCATTGGTCAAAACTCTTCTCAGTAGATCTTCTCAGTAGATCTGCGCGCCCTAGCCTGACACATTCTGTTAGCTAAATTTCCCTAATACAACTTTCCCTCCGCGTGATATATTTTAACTTTGAAGTTGGCAATATTTTAAACCCAATGCAATGGAGTTTTAACTTCCTCGCACTTAAATAAATATTTTAATTCAACGATGATTTCAAAATATGTAACACTGATGATGATCTGTCTGGAATCCAAAGAGATTTATATGGTTTCTTGGAACAAGTTTATTGTTGCTGCTATATTGTAGACCCTTAACAGATTCACATTATAAAATTCTATGTAATGGACGCGCATATACAATCTGCAACGGGGCATTCCGATCACGTGAAGATCGCACTGAGTTTTATAGCGCGCGGAGGCAGTTTGCAATTGTTTGATATGACTATAAATCATCTTCCGCCTGTCACTTAGTGCTCCGATAGCACTGATCTCCAATGCAGTAAAACATTACTCAAACGT